CCGGCCGCCCTCACGCCTACACTCTCTGGCCGAGTGGCTTTGTGGCCCGAGTGAACGGTCACTCTTGGGACCAAGAATAAGGAGCCCAGCAACCCCTGTCATTAGTGGTTTGCTGAGCATGCGTTGGGCCAAGGGACACCTGGGCACTATGCCTGCAGGCAGAGCAAAGCGGACGTGGCTAGGCTGTGCCCTGGCAGACACCAGAGTGGCCAGAGGGTCAGTGGCATCTGACTCTGGCTTTCCTCCCTCCCCACGTGGGGGCTGTGATTCTGGCTGGGCCAGGGGGAGGCAGCAGACGACTCACACAAACATACCCACGAGGGCCTGATTCAGGTGCAGGGACAGGTGTCCTGCCGTCAGGTGACAGGAAGGAGCCAGCCACGTGGAGGCTGGGGGGTGGGAGATTCAGGTGGAGGGAACTGGGAGCACAAAGACCTGGAGGTAGAAAGGACCAGTGGGACAAAGAGAAGGGAGGGACTAGAGAGGAGAGGGAAGCACAGGGCCTGAGGTATACAGGGTCCAGAAGGGACCCAGGAGGGTTTTATGCCAGTGGCATAATCTATTTTTTCAAACTAGTTACGAGTATCAGAAGAAAACAAAATTATAGCAGCCTCAAAATGAGATAGTTTGTTGTTGTTGTTGGGTTCTTTTGCCTTATAGCCTAAGGAGGGCCTAAGCTCCAAGCACTGGGGATGCAGCCTTCTTCCATCAGTGGCTCCATTATGCAAGGCTTCCATACTCAAGGTCTCCTCGTGGTCCCCTGTGGCTATTGGAGCTCTAGCCATTTCACCCATGTTCCAGCCAGCAGGAAGGGAGAACTAATGAATATTCCCTGTTTAAGGCCCCTTCTTCGATGTTGTGTGCACCTCTGAACAAAAGCTTAAAAACCAGGAGTCTGTGGCTGGGGTCTGGGGACAGAGAGCGGAGCTGTCTGCTCCCCCTGCCACTGTGCTCTGGCAGCTGGCCAGGGCTTTGCTGGACATAGGTGCAGCGTGGCATCAGTGTCCTCCTGGCCTTGGGGAGCCCTGGGGGAGAGTCCACTGTCCAAGCAGGTAGGGCTAGATCAAAGGACCAGACTCAACAGAGGAGGCGGGGGCTGGCTTCCCGCTTCTCCCTGTCCATTCCATTGCGTGAAGGACCAGCTCGTCCCACCAGGCAGTGGGCTGCTCTGTTAGCTCTGCGAATGGCCACACAATGTGCCAGATGGCACATGGCCATGACCAGTCACTCCCACTAGGTTCCTGGTGTCCAGGGGACTTCTGGGGCAGCTATGCCTTGCCCCGTGGCCTTGGGCATGTGACTTCTCCCTGGAGAACAGAGCGACATCATCAGGCACCTGCATATCACCAGCCTGTTATCATCCTTGACCCACCTGTGTCCCCTGCTCCCACAGGACCCCGACTGGTGACCTCGGCAAACCTCTTGGTGCTCTGATCCTCTGCCCTCCTGTCTTCGGCGTGCTCAGATGGCACAGCTCCTCGTCACCATTCCAGCCCTCCTTCCTCTGTCCTGGAATGCAGAGCTCGTGCCACTGCACGCCGCCTCCCTCTGTGCGTGATATTGCAGGAGTTGTGATTCCTGGAAACACCTGCCAGACACGCAGCCCCCCACCCGCCATGAGGCCAGGTCACAGGCTCCTACAGTGGGCAGGCATGCCCAGGACTGGCAGCAGGCATGTGCGGGCAGCCGGGAGGAGGCAGGAGCTGCTGTGCAAGCCACTCTGCCTCTTGCAGCTGTGTAGCCTGGGGCGTGTCAGGCCGCCTCTCCAACCTGGTTCTCTCCCTGGGGAACAGAGACAGTGTTCTGCCTCCAGGCCCTGAGAAGTGCAGAGCAGGCACGGACTGCTTCCCAGGCTCCCTGCAGGAACGTGCAGTCGGTGTGAGCTGTCTAACAACTGGAGCTTTCTACCATGTTCCCTGGGAACCCAGCGGCACCTCCACACTCCCTGTGGTGACAGGGGTGCTCAGCCCTGGCAGTGGGGTGGGGGAGAAGGGCCCTGGCTCTGGCTGCCTTCCCTCAGGGCTGACAAAAACGCCCTGTGCCCTGCGAAGACCTCCTCCACATGACAAGCCGAGGCACGAAGGTCTGTGTGCTCAGAAAGGCCCGGAGCCCTCATGTGAACGGGTCATACACACGCACAGCCTCTCTTTGTTAGAGCCAGGGGGCTCAGCCATGGCCCTTGCTGGGCCCCTCCTCCTCTATGTCCCTCCTGGGGACAATTCCCATAGACCCTGGGATCAGGGCCAGCATCTGGAGCTGAGTATACAGTTCAATGGCTCAGCATCTCCAGGAGACCCTGGAAGCAGGGAGGTGGCTGGGACATACGGGGCACGGTCCCTTTAAGATGTGTCCTGGGCTGGGTCCAGCAGAGGACAGCCTGGTAAGCAGCCCTAAGCACAGTAGGGAAACCAAGTGGGATGACACAGCAGACACCCGGGAAAACCCTCAGTGCAGACATGCAGGACAGCCCCCAGTGAGGCCATGCTCCGGCAGCCTGCGAATGCACCACTCACATGCAGTGACCGCTGGGGAAACTGAGGCTGGGGGCCACCATCACAGAGCAGGTTTACAAACCCAGAGTCTGATTTCTCAATTGCATTCAATACAGTCTTCTTGTCTTCTCTTGGAAATCAGGACTAACGGATCTCACAGGTTGGAGCCACCAAAGGGCCCAAAGCACAGAATAGGCTCTGGTTCCGCCCAATACCTTGGAGGCCTTCCCGCCCGCCACCTTTGGACCACCAGAAACATGTTTTCTCTGTGTCTTCTCCCTCTCTCCAGGACCCCCTACACACACCCCGTGTTGGCCAGGGCCACCCACAGGGTGGAGCTTGTCCCATACAGTGGCCACAGGGGGCAGTTTTTGTGTGGATGGAGCCCACATTTGAAGACGTGGATTTCCCCCTGCTCATGCACGGTCAAGTGAGGTGACAGTGACCTGGTCAGGTAAGAACAGTGGTTACCAGGTGGGGTCAAGGCTGTGACACCATCTCTGAGCCTGTCTCCTCAGCTGTAAAGGAGGCCAAACAGCTCCTCGATGCTGGACCTCAGCTGTGCTCCGGTGGAGGGGCACCACCTGGCTATCCTGTCACACCCTTCCCCTCCGCCTCAGTCCAGTGGGGGTTCCGCAGTCCGCCTGTGGGCCATGGGACTCAGGGGCTGCGGTCAGAGTGAGCTTGCCTGACTCTCCCAGGGTGGCTCTAAAGTGCCCTTGACCCCCAGAAGCCTCTCGTGGGCTGAAGAATGAATACACCAGGAAACGGAGACCAAGCAACCAGCCCTCATCACACAACCAGTGGGGGCCCCGTTGGAATCTGGCCACTTCGCTGGCCCTCACGCGCCCCTCCTCTCAGCTGACTTGCCATGGGGCAGGAACAGGGCATGGACCTGGGGTGAGGGGAAAAGTCCCTTTTTCTGGTAAATCCCTCAGGGTGACTTGCATTTTTTGTGCCTTCGGTTTCACTTACAAAACTCGCCCCCTCCCCCGGCAGAGGCAAGGGCGGGAACAGGGAAGACAAGCTTGGGGCCTCGTGGGTTAGGCAGGAGTTGGGTCCCAGGGCCACCAGAAGGCTGCCTGTTCAGCCTGAGAATGTCCAGTGAGGTGGGGACGGGACAGACAGGCTGCCACACTCCTGGGGGACAGCATGGCTCCTGGGCTGTGTGCCTTGGGCTGAGCTTCTCCCCAGCCATGCCTCACTTTCTTCCCCTGTCCAGTGAGGGAGGAGAAAGGCCTCTCCCCAGGACCCTTAGTAACACAAGAAGTGATGGCACCAGGCCCCACACGGTGCTGACCTCTGTGACTTGCCCACTGTCTCTCAGCTCCATAGGGTAGGGGCCCACTGCTTTCTTTGGTCCAGCCTCCAGTGTCTCCAACAGGATCTGGCACACATGTGAGCTTGGGTGCCATTGTTGAACCTCTGGCCCCTTCATTTCTTTGGGGGAGAGAGAAAAGAAATCAGGCTCGCATGGCCTTGACCAAGCCCTAACCTGAGGCCAGGAGCCAGTGCTGGAGGTGAAGGCACAGAGATTAGCCACCCACTGGAGACTACAGGGCTGTAAGGTGGCAGATCTGGGCAGCGCCTGGCCTGGGGGCAGTGACAGGGTCTGCTCACTACTTCCTAAGGCTTTAGGGGAGGCTTGTGTGAACCCCAGGAGATGCACAGTCTGAGGTGCAACCAGTGAAAGGGTGCAAAAAGCAGCTGAATCTGGGAGAGGTCAGGGTCAGGACGGAGGAGACAGGCAGCTGGCCTTCACCCCTGCCCTCCAGGCTTCTGCAGCGCCGCGTTGCCCTGGAAGATGACGTTTCCCTCTCCCCTCCACCCCACCTGGCTTCCCACGCCCGGAAGAGGTGGTTCCAGGGTGTCTCGGGAAACAAAGCCGACAGAGCACGGGCTGGGAACCGACTAGCTCTGCGGGCCGGGCACAGGGTGCCGCCTCCGGGCAGAGCGGCGCGCGCTCCGGGATCTGCACTCTGCCCCGTCCCCGCCATCAGGCTGTGCCGGAGGCCCCTCGGCCCCCAGTTTCCCACGTAGGAAAGCTGATGACCACAAGTAGGAAGCCACGTGCACCCACTTGCCGTGCGGGCAGCGGGCGCCGAGCCGGAGCTGCCTGCAGCCTGAGGGCGAGCCCCGCCCGGGAAAGCCTGGCCGGGCCGCGGCGGCCACGCCCGCTCGCCTTGCAGCGGCGCCCTGCAGTTTGCAAAGTGGCCAGGGAACGGCTGGTTTTCTTGACCTCACGTCATAAAGTGGCCATCACCGAGGGCCAGAGGGCTGCTGCGGCCGGGCACTTGGGGGCCCTCCGGTGCCATTACGGGACCCGGCGCCGCGCTGCCCGGGACCCCGCGTCGCATCAGACGGCGCTGTCCAGGCCCCCTTGCCCTGGGACTCCGGGCCCGACCCCGCCCCAGCGGAGGCGGAGTCTGGGGGCGGTACCGCGGCGCGGCGGGGCGGGGCGGGCCGGGAGGCGGAGGCGGGGCGGGGGCGGGGGCGGGGGCGGGCACACAGCCGCGGACCCGGCGGCAGAGGCGCGGGAGGGTTCAGGCCCGGAGCTAGGCGGCCCGCGCGGTCGCACCATGGATTCGAGCACCGAGGAATACGAGCTCAACGGCGACCTGCGCCCGGGCTCGCCCGGCTCCCCCGATGCCTCGGTAAGACCCCCACCCCCGCTGCTGTGTGACCTTGGCCGGCACCTCCCTCTCTGGGCCCGGCACCCGCGGCTCTGCGGGCACCTGTGTGCGTCGCCTGGTGAGCTCCCCATGCTGTGTGGTGGTGGTGGGCGACGATGCGCCAGAACGACGTCCCGCTCGTCCTATCCGGGACCCAAGCAGTGGCCCTGGAGGCTCTGGCCGCCCCTGCAGGGTCACAGGGGCGCGGGGAGGACTGGCGTGCTGCCGTCCGCAGCCCCATGGACCGTACCAACGCTCAGCTGCGCGGCGGAGCTGGGGCGCCGCTCTCCAGCAGGGACGGCCTCCCACAGCGCCCTTCTAACTTCAGCCTCACCGCCCCATCTCCTCCTGCGTGCCCCCGGGGTGGGCGGAGAAGAGTCATGGCATCTGGGCTCCAGGCCAGCAGTAAGCAGACGGCTACGTCACAGGGTGACCACACTGTCGGATGCTGCCCTGATGGGGGAACCCCAGGCTCCACTCACCTGCCCTGAAAAATGAACGTCACCCACTCAAAGCCTTCAGAGTGTCCACTGGTGGGCCCTAGTGGGGCCTGCCCAGAGCTTGCCCTGCAGGGCCCGGGAAGGCTGTGAGCATGGGGCAGGCCTTAGCAGGGTCCTGCCCCTGTGTTGGAGGTACACCCTCTTCCTGAACCTCCTCCCCACCTTCCAGCCCCTGCTCCTGCCAGGGCTGAGCCCGCCAGGGAGCCGTCCTGGCCTGGCCCTCTGGTGACTTGTTGACTTTGGACATCCTTTCATTTTCCGACCCCCCAGGAATGGGGGTGGGGAACTATGGTCTGGTTGGGATTTTCCAGGCTTGCTTTAGGCATGATTGGGGCAGAGTGACCAGTCCTAGGAGTATTCCTTGGGGATAGGCCATGTTTGGGAGAAAGGGCACCAGCAGGAAGTAGGGTCAGTCCTGGGGTTACACACATGTTTGTCCCTGGATTAGAGATGAGGAAACAGGACTTAGAGGAGTCTTGGGACTCACCTAGGTGTGCAGGACTGAGACCTGGCTCTGCCCCAGTGTGTGAGCACTTTGAAGCAGCTGGCAGAGGAGACCCTGGCTGTGTGTCCTTGGGGATGGGGGGGCACTCATCTTTGGGGCCTTCTATACATGGTCTTAAAAAGGGAGAACCCCAGGCACGGTGGCGCCTGCCTGTAATCCCAGCAGCTCCTGAGGATGGCGAGTTCAAAGCCAGCTTCAGCAATGGCGAGCCGCTAAGCAACTCACTGAGACCCTGTCTCTAAATAAAATACAAAATAGGGCTGGGTCTGTGGCTCAGTGGCCCAGTGCTCCTGAGTTCAGTCCCTGGTACTCCCCCCCACCACCACCACCACCTAAAAAAGGGAGTACAAATGATCCCTGGCGGCCTTCGAGGATATATCTTAAGCAAATAAAGTCAATAAAGAGGCAGGTGACTTGGAAACTGGTTTAAAGGAAGGGATTCTGCTCGCCCCCCACCCTTGGCCTTGCCTAGACTCTACCCTCTACTCAGTACCATCTCTGCTCAGCTCTGTAGGCATTAGGGTGGGCCCTGCCTCCCAGGGGCTCTGGGTGTATCATGGGCTCAGGAGAGACCTGGTTGGGTGCTCAGGGGTCATTATTTTGGGTAGAGACCAAAGGGAGAGAGAAGCAACCTCCTACCCCTATCTCAGTCTACCTTCAGAAATCAGAGAGCAGCCCAGACCAGGTGGAAAAATGAAGGCCAAGGTGTCGGATTCCAGGAGCTAGAGGGCCACCACACTGTGGGGTGGGGGATGTCAGGCCTCCTGTGGAGATGATGACGGATGTCCTCAACAGCCCCAGGGTGAGGAGGAAGGCAGGCAGGTCTGACCCTCTACATATGGAGGGTACCTAGGCTCAGGGAACAGTACAAGCAAAGTCCCAGAGGCCAGACCTCCACACACATGCATCTTGAGGCGGTGGGCTGAAAAGCCTGGCCCTGAAGAAGCTTTGTAGGCCCATCCGAGGTCACAGGAACCTCGGGTCCCCAGCAAGAGGCTTCCATGAGGAGTGGTCAGCCTACGAGTCTTTTCTGCTCACTCATATGGCTCAATGCCTTGTCCCCCCTACTGTGGGGACCCTGCGGTGCCATTTCTTGAGCCACCATGTTAGCACTCTGCCTCAGTTTCCTATCTGTAGATAACAGTTCTTCCCCCTGAGTGACATCATGGTGAGTCCTATGTGCTTATCTACAGGAAATGCGTGGAGCAGGGCCCAGCACACAGTGGCATTGGCAACTTATAACTTTCTACCACAGAGACCCTTTCCTTGTGGTGACACCAGGCTGTGTGGCTCCAAAAGAGCAGCACCTTCCCCAGGGTGGGTCCTTCAGGAGGGCCTCCCTCCTCTATAACACTGGGCACTGTTGCTTGCTTCCTAGATGGCTGAAGCTCGCCAGAGTCACAGCTGTACCTCCTCTGCAGGGGTGCCCAGGCGGGTCCTCTCAAGCTCCGCCATGCCTCCTCCCACAGTCCTGGCATCCCTAGGGCCCTTCACATGAGGATCCCTGTCAGTGTCCAGGGATTGAGCCCGCTCCTTCTGTACCTCGACTCACTTTGGGCTGGCAGCACAGGAAGAGTAAACATCAATTTGAATGTGGAAATGCCCCACAGTTATGTCATGCCCAGTACTGCATTGCCCACTGCAGGAGGGAGATGGCCAAGAAGTGACTGGAGCATGGCTGGGTCACAGCCCTCTGGTGTCAATCCATATCCCTGCCACTCACAGTCCCTAGGGCGAGGTTCCTAATGCCACCTCTCTGGCCTCCAGGACACGGATTTTTACTCACACTGCACAGCCTCAGCTGCCAGAGGAAGTTCCCTCTTTCTCTCATTTCTTTTTTTTTTTTTTAATATTTATTTATTTATTATTTTTCCACAGACACAACATCTTTGTTTGTATGTGGTGCTGAGGATAGAACCCGGGCCGCACGCATGCCAGGCGAGCGCGCTACCGCTTGAGCCACCTCCCCAGCCCCTCTTTCTCTCATTTCTGCTTGCCTGGCAGGTCCTGAGACTGATAGGATCTTAGCTAAATTCTAAAGGCAACCCTGATGGGCCTCGAGGTTACTCCTGGTCAGTACTGAGCTTAGGGGAAGTAGTACTGCCCAGCCCAAGCCATAGCCCAGCTGCTAGGAGGACCCCGCCTCCTGTACTTCCTGCTGTCTGGCTAGGGTTTCCTGCCAGGAATGCAGATGTGGAACCCAGAGACCCTCAGGCCCTGCTTCCTGAGCTGGTTAGGCATGAACAGCAGAGGCACAGGTGTAGGCCTCAGAGGGCTAGACCTGGAAGCCAGCCCTGGTGGCTTCATGCCAGTCCTGGTCTGGGGGGATGGACCCAGAAGTCCTACCCCCGCATGGATGAGAGATGCCCAAAGCCCACAGGTCCATGGAGGTTGTGGGAACCCAGTTCTCGGGTCTCCCCATTAGCTATTGGTGCCTAGCTAAGCCTAAGAGGCAGACCTGGGAGCAGGCCAGGCTGGAGTCAGCCAGGATCTAACTAGACTTGGACATCGGTCACCCAGGGCAGCAACTTGACCTGATGCCTCCCTTGGGTTTGGTCAGCCCAGAGGGACCCAAGCCCAACTGTCCTTTCTTTTCTTGGTTGCCGTTTTATTTGTGTGCCGTTATTTATGAGCTGGTAGAGCTTTTGGGTAGGAGGCAGAGCCTGTCACGATGGGAACAGCCACATATCGGGTGGAGGAACATCCGAGCCCTGTCACCCACTACAGGGCACTGTAACAGGCCATAAGACTTCTGAGACTGCCATATACAGTCCTCTCCACATCCCTGTCTGCCTGTTTTATAGATGAGAAAACTGAGGCACTTCTGGTCACTGGGATGGGGATGACAGAGGAGGTGTGGTGGCAGCCCCAGCCCAGCTCTGGGCAAGGCTTCTGTGGCAGCAGCTGGTATAATGGGCCCAGCTTGGGCTACAGGCCCCCCAGGCAAGTTCTGGGGGACCCATAGCACCCATTGCACTATGACTAAGCCAGGCTATGGGTGCAGCAGGGCTAATTCAAATGCTCTCTGGACCAGCTTCCCCCGAACCTGAGCTATGGAAGGCAGGTGGCCCAGGACCACGTGACCATAGAAGGCAGCCCCCTGCATGGGGCTGACTCTCCCTGGGGTTTTTTCCCAGTATTTACAGGAAAACGGGCATCACCCCAGCTCCCAGATCTGCTGAGGTTTCAGGGAACTCCTGTTGGCTCCCGGGACACATTAACCAGGGTGTTTGTTCCCTGAACTGCCCAGGTCACGGGCACAGGCTCCAGCAGGAGTTTTCTGGCATGCTCTTGGCAGTTGGTCAGGCTTGTGGGGCTCCCTGATCTATGGTTGATAGGTCTATCTGCCTGCCCATCTTGAGACCGTTGTGCAGGCCCAAGGCCAGGGAGCCCCAGGAGGCCTGGTGTGCTGTCCCCTTCCCCAACCACATGAAGCTCTCATCAGCCCACATAGCCTTAGTGGTTCCCCTGCCCAGGATGGACACCAGTGTGTGTCCCAAGGCAGCCCTGGGCTTAGGGTACTCGTCTTGGGCTTGAATTCTGATCTCCTTCCTTGAGATGCCCTGGGCAGGCCCCTTCTGAGCCTCAATCTCCTGGTCATGGAAAGGGAAAGTAATGCTCCCTCCCATCCAGTGGCTAGGCAGTCGTGCATGTGGGGAGACTGAGGCAGCAGAGGGAGGCTGTGGTTAGGGCCTTAGAGCCAGGCTGGGGGGAATGAGGGCTTGAGCCAGTGCAGAGGCCTCCCCAGCCTTGACCATGGTTCAGCCTGTGCTTCTTGTCATTGCATAGAGTGAACAGGAAGCAGATGGCTGGGTGGGCCAGAAGTACTCTTCACCAGGAGGGACACTGGGTTGGGGACCCTGCTGGCCCCAGGGCTCTGAGCCATTCGGGGTGTTTGCTTCGCAGTCCCATGAAAGACAGGCTCAGAGTGGGACTAACTGTCCTGAGCCTGGGGCAGGGAGCCCCCCAGGAGCTTCATGGATACTCTGGCCCACCTTGACAGGGACTATGGAGATAGTGTTGTCATCCTCTAGGGCTCTGAACCCCAGAGCCTGGGTTCAAATTCCAGCCAGTCCTTTCTTGCTGTGTAGCTTTGAATAAGGAACCTCCTGCCCTGAGCCTCAGTTTACCCCACTCAAGTGGGTATGAGGACAGGACAGCAGGGACACAGACTCCCATGATGGGGGCTGCTGAGGGCTGAGGCCAGGGGCCAGGACATGGGACTCTGCTGCTGACAGTGCTCCTTCATGACGAATGTATGTTGTGTGTGTTGTTTGTACATGCACGTGTGCACATGTGTGTTGTGTGCATATGTATGTATGATGTGTATGTGTGCTATGTATGTGTGTATGTGCTTATGTGAGCCTATTGTGTATATACTGTGTACATGTGTGGGTGTGTTTATGCATGTGTTGTGTTACATATGTGTATGTGCACCTTATGTGGGTGCCTCTAAGTGGTGTATAAGTAATTGCACATGTATGTGCCTGTGTGTGTCCATGTGTGTATAAGTGTTACATGCTGTATTGTATGAATGTGTATTGTGTACAATCTGGAATGATTGTATATTTTGGGTATTTGTGTTATGCATGGTATGTTTATGTGTATGTGTTTATATGTGTGCATTTCATGTGTATATGTGTGGTTGTGCACATGTATATTGTGTATGTTCACATGCGCATATTGTCTGTGTGTGTTGTGGGCTGTATGTTTGTGTGCATCTGTGTCTATGTCTATGGAAGGTTCTCACAGGATCTATATTTGCCTTTTCTTTTAAGGACAGCTCCTGGGCTGGGACGTGGCTAAGCCCGGGGGCAGCCTGGAGGGAAAGCACTTTGGTACCCTGGGTTTAAGAAATTAGGAGCACATGCCTACTGTGAACCAGCAGCCCCTGGATGCTCTGTACCCAGAAGAGCACATGTGTGTGGCAGGGTGTGGCCAGCTGGATGGCCTTGTGGAAGCAAAGCTGGAGGTGACCTCAGTGCCAGACATGGGCTAGTTAACACAGACTGCCCACACCCAGACCCATGCAGCCTGGGAGGGGTCCAAGGGGTGCAGCCACCCCAGAGGGGCCTCGTGGCACACCTGCAGTGATTCCCGAGCAGCACTGGGCAGGGGGCTGGTGCTGGTGGCCAGCCCAGGTGGAGACAGCTTTGCTCTGTGCTCTGCAGTGTAGGACTGACCTGAGTGACTGTACCACACAGCAGCTGATGCCAAAGGCAAGCGGTTGGAATGTTCCGGCCCAGGAGCAGGCAGCAGAGCCCCGCCGTATCTGCACGCACCCTGCCTTCCTCTTGGGCACATTCAACTTAAAAACACACACCACTAGAACAAAACCCTGGCCATGTGACACCTGTGTCCACCTCCCTCACACCTGCAGCACTGGCCTCTCACCCCTGCATCTTTCATGAGTTTGGAAACAGGATCTCCCTCCCAGAGTAGCCCCAGGAGGCTACCACCAGCATTGGCCCTGGCCACTGCCTCCAATCCAGTGCCCAGTCCCTGGAAGCTACAGAGCAGGGCCAGGCAGCCCTGGACCGAGGACCAGGGCTGAGGGTGGCGGGGATTTTTGTGGTGGCTGAGAAGGGATCTGACCAAGACAGTTTGAGGGGGGCTGCCTGGCTCCATGGAAAGAAGAAGCCAGGTACCTATAGGGGCCCTGGAATAAAACAGGCTGGCTTAAGAGGTGACCTCCCATGGTAGGAGAGGTCTCTCCTACTAGGAGAGGTCACAGGAGGCTCTCTGGAGGCAAGGGCCTCTAGACAGGACCTCAGAACGTGAGGGTCCACGGTAACAGGAAAGGGTGCTGGACGGGGAGGGAAGTACAGGCCCCCTGTGACTGGCTGGGTTGAGGGGTAGGAGGCAGCAGGAAAATGGCATGGGGCTGAGTGGGGCCTGGGACCAGCCCTAAGATAGGAGAGTGACGTCACCAGGAGATACGCACCATAGAGAAGAGATCAGGACGTGTATTCCTGTGTTCTTATTATGAAAGTTGACACAGCGAAGTTTGACTGTATGCAGCATGCCAAGGCATCTATTGAGCTCCTGCTGTGTACTGGCAGACTCTTGGTGCCCTGTGTCTTTGAGCAGCTTGCAGCTAGGCTGGGTGGCCAAGCCATTCTGCAGGGCAGTGTGGAGGGTGGGGGCAGGGGACTGAGGAGCCTGAGGGGAGGTGACCGAGGCAGGACTGGCCTCAGGGCCCAGCCCAGGAAGGGCTTGTTTCAGGCCTGGGCAGTATTCAGGGACCTGTCCACCCACACACCGTTTCCCTTCCCGGCACCCAACAGGAGCCCAGGCCCTGAGTGGGGAGAGCCCTGGGCACAGGCAGCCAGGGAGGAGCACCCCTGCAGTGGGAGGGTGTGGGCCTGGAACACCAGAGTGCCTGTGCTGAGGTCGCCATTTTTCCCTCCCTCTGGGACTTTATTCCTGGGCTCCCCTTTGTAACGGCTGAGCACATTCAGAGTGACGCACTTACCATGGCCAGGGCAGCAGAAGTTGTGGGGGGACTTGGCCCCGGCCCCTCCCTGCTGACCATCACCCTTCCCACTCTCCCCTCCTGCTGATCGTCACCCCTTTCCTCCCCTGCTCACTGACGGTCCCCTCCCTACAGCCGCCGCGATGGGGCCGGAGGAACCAGCCCATCAACATGAACCATTACGCCAACAAGAAGAGCGCAGCCGAGAGCATGTTGGACATTGCGCTGCTGATGGCCAATGCGTCCCAGCTGAAGGCCGTGGTGGAGCAGGGCCCCAGCTTTGCCTTCTTCGTGCCCCTGGTGGTCCTCATCTCCATCTCCCTGGCTCTGCAGATCAGCGTGGGCGTGCTGCTCATCTTCCTCGGTAGGAGCCTGGCGCTCAGCTCCCCGCCTGGGCGCCTGCCACCCTGCACACCTGGTTCTCACAGAGCTGCCTCTTCCCCAGCCCTCCTCTGCAGGGCACGTCGTCCAGGATTTGATCCCCCACCCCCAGCCAGACCCTGCACGGTGAAATACGGCAGGGTCGGATCCTCAGGGCTGGGGCCTGTGGGAGTCAGAGTGCCTGTCCCCCGCCAGGCCCTTCCAGCTCCCTCCACAGGGTAACCTGTGCCAGCCAGCTCTTACAGACTGGCATCAGCCAGGCCCATCCCTGGTGACATGGTCCAGTGAGAAAAGAATTGCCAAGTCACACAGGAAGTGAAGAGGGCCCAGGAGGCGGGGGGGGGACCCTGAAATGAGGAAGGACCCTGGCCCTGGAGGTGAGGAGGGAATCTAGGCACAGGAGGTGTAGAGGGAATTCAGACCCAAGGTGGTGAGGAAGGGCCTTGGACCAGGAGGTGTGGAAGGACACTGGGCCCACAAAGGGAGAAGCAAATCCTGGCCCAGGAGGCGAGGGGGAACCCTGGACCCTGACCACTATCTCCATGGCCAGAATGTCCAGCCGTCCTGCTGGTTTTGAGCAAAAACCCAAATTGTAGGTTGTAACCTCTGGTGTTCCAGTCTTCCCCAAATTGAGTCACTAAATAATATTCCTTCAAAATCAGACCAACTTCCTCGGATGGACTGACAGGTGGACCAGAGGCGGGCAGGCAGGAGGGAGAGTCCATAGAGAAAGGCACATGAGGGCACAGTACATTTGCCTTAGAAACCAAACCTGGTCTGGCTTGATGACCAGGAGAAGCATGATCTTGGGTGCTTGACTGGCCTGGGCTTCAGTTCCTCATGGAGAAAGTGGGGGGGGGCTACAGAAGACAGGACCCCCAAACCCAGGGGATGCACTATCAGAGTTTTAGCAAAACATTACTTTTTCTGGGGACAAAACTTATCCCATGTGTGTTTGAAGACCCTGTGATGTCCACACAGCATGGTCCCCAGGTCGGTTCTCCCCTGGCCTGGGTCTGGGCCGCCCTGGACACCATCTGCTCCCTCTTGCCCACAGTCAAGTACGACCTTAACAATCCGGCCAAGCACGCCAAGCTGGACTTCCTCAACAACCTAGCCACGGGCCTGGTGTTCATCATCGTGGTGGTCAACATCTTCATCACAGCCTTTGGGGTCCAGAAACCCGTGATGGACGTGGCACCCCGGCAGTAGGGCAGCCAGGTGAGCCGGGAGGGGAGCATGGGACCCGTAGCTGTCAATTGCCACGAAGTCTCTTAGGGCAGGTGAGCCTCCAGCTGGCTTTCCTGGTCACCCTTTTCCCCATGGTCACCACCTTGATCCAGACCTGGCCCCCCACGCTGAGGTCCAGTGACCACAGTGCTGAGGTATGACATATTTTGAAGCCGCTGTTCAAGTTGGTTTGGTGTGTTTTTGTGGTGCTGGGGATGAACCCAGGGCCTCATGGGTGGTGGGCAGGTAGGTGCTCTACCACAGCCAAACCCCTGGCCCCTGGAGCTGCCGCTGACATGCCCAGAGAGCTCATGTGAAAATCTATCTTTCTGGCTTCTTTTGAGAACCCCGGGGGTTCTGTCCCTATGTCAGCCACACCCAGCAGGTGGTGCCTAATATGAGCCTTCACCTGAGAAAATGGCCTCTGCCTACCCAGCTGCCTCACCACGGCGGTATTCAGGGGCTTCTGACGGGGAGCCCTGTGACACCTCATCTATCCTTGCTGGGCCTTGGAGGGTCTGTGTCACCCCTGCTCAGGGCAGACCCTGGCTCCATTCAGGGCAGACTGCAGCCACCCTGCTCCTGGAATATAGGACGCAGTGTAAGAAGCATTTCCTGTACCATGTTCCCCCTCCCCTGTCCTTGCCCTGGGAGGCTGAGTACCTGCCCGAGGACACCTAGCCAGGGAGCAGGATGAGCAGGGAAGGCCAGGTGACTTGGTCTGAGGCTGGGACCATGCACACCACAGTCTTGTTGCTTTGGTCCGGAACTGTCAACACCACAGTCCACATGGTTGAGGGCCAGAGATAGCCATATTCCCTGTGGGGGACACACTGGCCCCAGTTCTCTTGGTCATGAGCCTAGGGTTGCTCTTCTGGGCTAGGAACTGGGTAGGGTCTGATTCGCTGCCTGGTTGGTTATAAGTTGTCCTTCCACAGAGCCCCTTGTGTGCCATCCTGACCCTTTACACGTGGCATGACCAGGCCCCTTAGTAATCATCTGCTGTGTAGCCTGAACACAGTCCTTGACCCTCCTTGAGTACTGGTCATCTGCTGGGTTCTGGGCTTATGGGCACTTAAGGGCCTACTCTTCCTGGTCCCTGCCCTCCATGGGTATCCTTGGGGTATCCTCATGGGCCCAGAGTCCAGGACTGCTGCATGTACTGGGCCGCAAGTAGCCATAGCAGAGTCTTGGACTTGGTGGGTAGTTGTGGTCACTGCTGCTGGACCTTGGTGGGTCAGGCCTTTACCTCCTGACAGGGACCCAGGAACACTGTACTTCAGAGGGAGAATCGAGGGCTCAGAGAGATGTGCTAACTCAGCCAGGCCAGACGTGACCTTCTCCCTCTTGAGTCTGAGTCACCAAGTATGTGGCCCTGAGGTGCCTGTGGGCTGGTCACCAGGATGGGCTTGGAGCCCCCGCCCCCCCAACCTGGGGCTCTGTTGAGTGGCCAGGCAAAACTCACACCTCTTCTCTCTTCTGTCTAGAACCCTGAATGGCAACTGCCCCACAGCCTGGCTGCCCAGAGCCCAGGAGCCACCGTGCCCTGAGATGTCCACCACTGTGTGGAGCACTCCCCAGACCTGCCAGAGCCCAGGCTGCTCTCGACTGGTCTGTGTCCTGGGACGAGCCTCTGTTCTGACTGTGACTGCCCCATAGAAGGCTACTCCTGTCATGTGGGGCCTGGATGTAAGGCCCAGAAGGTCAGAACTGGACAGTCCCACAGACATGCAGCAGGTCCGTGGATGGGCCGGATGGAGGGGCCAGCAGTGGCCTCTATCTCAGGACATTCGCGAAAGACAAGGCGATTCCCCTCCCTTTGCTGATGCACCAGCAGACCTATTTCCCATGGGGCCTTCCCAGGTGGCTCTGGTGACTGCTGCCTCCTCCATTTCCTAACTGGGGACACTGGATAGCCAGCACCACCTGTTGGCCTTAGTGGTGGCCACTGCTCTGGCCTCAGTGCCTGGGCTTAGTAGCCATCAAAAGGCAGCTGTGCCTGTGTGGGCCATCACCCTGCCCGTGCCCTCCAACCAGCAGTGGCCCTGCAAAGCCCAGCCCCTCCTTGGGGGTCCAAACCCCACTTTTCTAATCAGGAATGATTAATAAAGCTTGTGCTTCTCCCTGCTGGGCTCCGTGCACCATCCTCCCCCTCCTGGGGTGGGACCCTGCCACGGCCCCCTCTCCTTGCAGGGGCCTGGGAGCACTGAGTTTCAGCCAGGGCTGCCTTCCCCAGAACGCTGGGTTTGGGGAGCTCTTTGGCTCCCATCTCGACTCAGGGTGAGATTTAGAGGCAGAGAGGCCAGGGTTTGAAGCTCCAAGGCCTTGCTTGCCTTCATTTCTTTGTGCACAGGCAAAATCACCAGGAAGTTTGCAAGAATAAAGAATCCCCTTACACACTTGTGAACATTTTGCCAAGTGTGTCCTTAGCTGTCCCAGAACCTGCACCTCCACAGCCTTTGTGACCCACCCACACTGGGTACCTACTATGTGGCAGAGGGTGGGCTGGCCTCCAGGGTGTGGGGCCTGAGTGCCATAGGTCCTGGGGTCCCAGCAGCTTGATGCACTTGGACTGCCGAGTGCTTCTGTGCAAAGTGGTAGAGATGGGACCTTTGCTGACCTACCAGAGCCGTCCATCAGCTCTGATGTGTGGGACAAGTGCACACTACCCTGTCCCCATGCCCAGGGACCCTGCTCTGTCATTTGTAGCAACATAAGATAAAAAAAAAAAAACCTTGCCTGGATCCCACATGGCCTGTGCCACCTCATCTGAGCTCAGAGCGGGTGCTTGAACTCTACCAGGCCCTGCGATGGCCCTCAGTCTTGCTCAGGTGAAGTGTTTCTAAGACCACGGGGTCGGGGACTGGAGGGTGGTTTCATCAGGATTGCCCCAAAGTGTTTTTTAACTTGGGGACTCTGGTGCTGGATGACGGCTGCCCTCCCCAGGGAGTGGGGGAGGGGCAGCCTGTGTAATGAGTATGGGGAACTAACTGTCATCTATGGCCTGGGCAGGGGCCCCTCATGGAATTCCAGCACTCTCTCCATTTAATGCATGTCTGTGCTGTGCCAGCCCACTTTCTGCTGTTCCAAGTCTGTTTGTACTTCCCCACAGTGGTGTCCAGCACTGCCCTGGTCAGCAGGGATATCCTCCTTGGGAGGAGACAAGCTAGGATCCTGTCCTAGACTGGAGCCTCCTGCCTGGTAGAATCCCTTACCCAGCAGAAACTGGCTCCTAGCCCTTGTTCTCTTTTTCCTGGTCCCCAGCCCTTCACTCACCACCCCCAGCACCCCACTGTATCTCCCAGCCCCTCTGCCCCCCACCTCCCTCTGGCATTGCCCCTGCACCCTGCTACGGGATACCCCGTCATGATTCCCTCCAGATGAGACACCTGGGCCTCTCTCACTAGCCTCTGTCCTCTCCTCCAAGCAGCGTCCCCAAGACACAGGGTGGGGGCAAGAGCCTCTCCCAACGCCCCCACTCCCCATTCTTTCCTTGTCCATCTGCGTGTCAAACCTGGAGTGACTCTAGCACCTGGTGCCTTAACCCGGTCACATAAGCCCCCAGCAGTCTCAGGTGTGATTGACCAATCAGGTCCCGAAATGACTGACAAGTGAAAGTGCTTATGGCTAAAATGGTCTGAATCTGGGCTTGGCTTTAAAATACTCCCGGGGACCCAAAGTAGAGGAAATGGATGGAACCCGATGGATTTGTGCTGACATCTGTAGACCCGGGGGCTCAGACACTGCCCTTTCTGCTTTTGTTAATGTCTGTCCTATGAAGAGAGTTTTTAAAGGTAGTTGTGGCATGGAATTTGTTCCCAGATGAAAAAGCAAGATGGGAAGATGTGCCCTGGGCCTGAAGTGTGCTTCTGTCAGAGACAAGGTGGCACTGTCTGTGACAAGGGCCTGGCTCAGGTGCTGAGTCTCTGGTGGGGCCCTGGTGTGGGCTGGCAAACAGCCACCCGTGTGCCTGGTCCCAAGTCACCAGCCTGATGTTGGCCAACACGTCGAATAGTTCCTCCTTTGCCAGGAGAGGAAACTCACCAAGACAGGGCTGCATGGGGTGCGGACATGGCTGCAGTAAGGCTGGACTGTCAACAACATCACCCCTCCCTGGTACAGGGTCCTGGCAGGCAGGGCATAGCTTACAGGTCTGGAGCCCGGTGGTCCAGGCTGGTCATTAACAAGGCAGCTCAATGCCTGGGAGGAGGTGGGGACATCCACAGCCCCATCCCCTGGTGTGTCCCAACCCCCCATGCCATCCCAGGTGCGAGCTCTTGGCTCCCCCACATCTCTATCCCCAGGTGGCATCCCCTGTGCTCGGTCAGCCATGCCAGCTGTCCCCTCACTCCTGAGCAGTCTGGCCTCACTGCCAGTGTGTGTTGGTGCCTTCAGGCCATGGCTGGGCTGGTCAGAGCTCAGCTCCCGGTGGCTCTTAGGGGCTTCCCTGACCACTGTCCTAGGTTGCCCTCCCTGTTTGCTATCCTGGCCCCTATTTGGGTTTATGCTTTGGATTAGAGTCACCATCCACATCAGCAGAGGTCAATAGGAGGTTAGAGAATCCCTTGAGCTGGTGTCTGAGCCTGGCCCCAAGCTCAGAGCTGATACTGGGAGAACAGAGGTCTTGCCCCCTGGGTCTCCTGAGGGCCAAGGGCTCTGTTGGGGCTGGGGGAGGTGGGCACCCTCAATTCATGCCTGTGCTTGTCCTTACAGACCCTTGGTCTGCCTGGTTCTCCCACCACCTGGGCCTCTCCCACCAGCCTCTGTCCTCTCCCCAAGCAGCCTGTGTCCCTGCACTGTCTGGAACACAAGTTGGTGTTCCATAAATGTCTGGGGTAGAACCTATTCACTCCTCCAAGGGTGCCGGACCCTATGTCACAGAGGCAGAGGGCCAGATGAAAAACTGAGGCCCAAGACTGTTAGAGCCAGCTCCCAGGTGCGTGTGAGCACCATTGCTGGTCCCTAATGTGTCCTAATTCCCTGTACTCATCTGTGCAGCCAGCCCTGCCCAGGAGCCCAGGGACAGTGCTGTGGTAGGGGTGGGGTGTCAGGAGAGTGAACAGGGTGTGTGAGAAGCAAGGAGAAGGAGCCACTGAGTCAGGGAGACCCCACAGAGGGACATGCAAGGAGGTCAGGCTGGATGGGGAAGAAGGTTCTAGGCAGAGGGCTAGCCTGGGAGTGAGCCCTGAGGCCAGCAGGAGCTGCACCTGGCTTTGCAGGAACCGCAAGGTGGGGGCGTGACAGTGTGAGAGTCACCTGGAACTGGGAGTGGCAGAAGGCTGGTTTCTTTTGTCTTTTTCCTATAATAGATGGAGAGGTTAGATAGTTGGACAGATGGGCAGGTGGATGGACAATAGATAATATGGTTGATAGTTATGATAGCACCATAATTTGGATAAGTATCCCCTGAAGGTCATGTGTTAAAGGGTTGGTCCCCAAGGTGGCACTCTGGGGAGGTGGTGTACCTTTAAAAGGTGGGACCTAGTGGGGGTCTTTTAGGCTATTGGGTTCAGGGCTTTGAAGGGGACTGTGGAACCCCAGAACCTTCCTTGTTCTCTTTTTGGCTCCCTGGCTCCTGAAATGAGTCTTTTGTTTGTTTGTTTGTTTAACCCAGGAGAACTTATTAACCACTGAGCCACATCCCCAGCTCAGGGACTCACTAAGTTGCTTAGGGCCTTGCTAAGTTACTGAGGCTGGTATTTGTGACCCTCCTGCCCTTGCTTCTTGAGTTGCTGGGACCACATCCAGCTTGAGGCGAGTGATTTTGCTCCGTTGTGCATCCCTGCCATGTTTACAGCCTTACCAGAGGCTGATCATGGAGCCAAACCTCCAAAACTGAGAGCTGAAGTACACCTTTTCTCTTCATAAGCTAATTATCTCAGGTATCTCAATATAGTGATGGAAAGCTAACAGATATCTGTGGTGGAAGGATGAATGATAGAATGATAATTGATAGATGGACTGATTGATAGGTAGATGGGTGATAGATGATTGATAGATATAATGGATAGAGGGATAAACAGATGTCAGGCTCAGTAGGTTATCCCAAGCCCATCCCCAGACAGTGTCCCCAGTGAGGAACTAGCTCTGGGCCAGCCTGAAACCCCAGCTCAGCCTCCTCCTCCCTTACAGGAGTGGTGTGCAATCCCTCATTGCTCAGTGCCCTTGCTTGCCCTCCTACCTGGCTGTGAACATTGGATGTGTCTTCTGAGCCTTGTTGGATACACATGCTGTCTGTTCCTTGTGGCTCTGCTGACCCCACTGTTTACCCTTTGACATGGGTAGCAGGGCCAGGACCAGGGAATGGGGTAGGCTAGGAGGAAGGCCTGATCTAGGGTGTGAAGGTGGCCCTTTCCTGCTGAACCCAGGGGGGGTCGTCCTCCTTCCCACACCCACTCTGCCCAGCCTCCTCTCCATTTCCCAGGAGCCTTCTCTCCCCACTGAGTTTAATGGGGATTTAGTAGGGGTGAGATTCAAAGCAAATTTCAACTGCTTTGCTTTTGGAAATCAGGGAGTCCAAAGCTTTCATGGTGTTCTTCTTTAGCTCTCGAACACTCATTTTGGGCCAGGTGCCGTGGTAGGTGCCTGTAATCCCAGAGGCTTGGGAGCTCAGGCAGGAGGATCAAGAGTTCAAAGCCAGCCTCAGCGAGGCCCTAAGCAACTCAGTGAGATCCTGTCTCAAAATATAAAAAAGGGCTAGGGATGTGGCTCAGTGGTTGAGCACCCCTGGGTTCAATCCCTGGTGCAAACAAACAAACAAACAAAAAACTCTCACTTTTTGGGGAGATACTAATTCCGGTTGTTGATCTGGATGTGGCCTGAGTAGGTGTCTCCAGCCCAGCACCTCTTCCTTCCCCCAGCCTATGGAGGCTGCCAGGCCAGTTTCAGGCCAGGATAGACCCTACCCCCAACGCTTGTGGCTGCAAATGGGTCTTCTGGGAAGTGGGGTGTGAGGACCCCCGAGACATGGCCATTCCCCTCAGGCTCCACTATAATGTGGGTTGTGCTTCAGGGTCAGATTAAAATTTGGGGGTCCCATGGTCACTTGACCAGAGCCTCCCCAATCCAGGCCCCATCTGTCAGAAAGGGGGACATGTACCAGTCCTCTTGTGCCTCAAAAGAGGTCCTTGTTCTCTGACCCACATTACAGGTGAGGAGGTGGAGCTTCTGATCAATGATGGGGCTCGCAGTGAGGTGACCCCGTGACAGAACAGCATCCCTCTCTCTTTCCAGCTCCTGAGCACCCCTCAGGTGCTGGAAGCCATGTGGACCACGACAGGCTAACCCCCTCCAAGACCCAAGTGAGCCGTGACCTGTGTCTGGCTGGACCTGGGGCTAGGGGACATTGGCAGGGCCCCTGTGAACCATCTGCAGTGGGAGAAGACCCCACCTAGCAGGTGCCCACCCAGTGGGAATGGAAATGGTGACACTACAGAAAAGCAGTGTCAGTGCACCCCCAAATCCAACCCTGCACCTGCACATGTGTGCAGCCATCAACCCTGTGTTGTGCAAGATGCAGATGCATTTCCTGCCCTGGGCTCTTGTGCCCTGTGTCCTCGCTGGCCGGGCTCAGCCAGCCCAGAGCTCCACCAAGCCTCCTGCTCTCCTCTGCAGCTGCGCCTCCTCTCCCTTGTGACAAACTTCCAGTAATGGGAGCTCTCCCCGCATCCTGGCTGTCCCTACCAGCCCCTGCACAGTTCTGGGAATAGTGTCCCTGGAGCGGCCACTGTTCTTACTTGTGTGTCAAAAGTGTTTCCTGGAGTAGGTGACTTTCTATTCAGGACCAGGATGAGTCTGTTGGTGGATGGGGAGGAATCTCCAAGCAGGGGGCGTGCATACGCCTATACAAGAACCCTTCCACTGTCCTCTGCTCCGTGGGCTCCAGGCTCGGATGGGAGGCCTGTGGAGGACCAGCCAGGTGGGAGGTGGCAGATGGGAGGTGGGGCTTGCAGTGAGGGTCTTTGAAGGCCACGGTCACAGGCTCTGAGGCTACCTGGGTCAGGAGTGGCACCCAGGTGACTAGAGGCTGGGAGAGGCAGCCAAGGACCATCTGAGCCCAGGGACTGGCAGATTGGGCCTCAGGGCAGGGCCTCTGTGGGTCTCAAACGGAAGCAGAAAGTCAGCAATCCTGGGCCAGGTGGACTCAAGTCCTCTTGGGGACCTTCTGGGCCTAGGGAATCATGGCCTTAGGCCCTTTCACAGTCCTGAGGAGGTGTGTTCTCTATGGTCTCAGGTGGGGCCAGCCCGGGACCTTCCCAGGCCATTGGCCTGTGGCCTTGCCTATTTCTGGACCTTCAGAGACAAGTCCAGCCTGTGCACATGCTGGACACAAGTGTCTGTGCCCTTTACAAGGTATGTGTCACCTTCACGCATGTGTCTCTGTCCCTTCACTAAATGCTTGTTACCTTTACCCAAGTGTGAGTGTAGTGGCACCCCCTTCCCCACAGAAAATCTTAACTAAGCTTCTCCAGAAATCTTTACTATGGTGAAGATTTTAGGACTGTCAGCAGAAGAGTCTACAAAAGAGTTCAATGTGGGTAAACTTCCTGTTTTCCTGTTGCTCTATTTTACTTGGCCACTGGCCTGGAAGAAATCAGCACTCCAGGTGCCAAAGGCCCCTTTACTAGTATTTCACAAACATTTATCCAGTAGAGTAGTTTGTAGAAGTGTGTTTGCAAATGCAAAGTGTGTTAATAAAAAGACAAATCCTTTAACAAGGCCTCTGGCCTTGAGCTGGGCTTCACGGAGATGTCTACATTTCTAAGATGAGAGAAGTTACCAACTGGGCTCCATGGTAACAGCTGGCAGGGGAGGAAAGAAAGGGGAGGAGCAGCTCTCCCCTTCTCAGGTGCTGTCCTTGAAGGGTTAACTTGCCCAGAACAGCGAAAGGAAGAGCTGCTTTATGTGAACTTCTGCAGACTGTGAGCTTCTGAGCCCCTCCCCTTACACGCTGGGTATAAAGTTCTGAAACTACCTAGACTTGGGGTTCAGGGAATTAATTGATTACAGCGAAAGCTGAACCCTCTGATCCTATCTGCAGCCAAATAAAACTGTTTCCTGCTATCTTCGGTCCCCTGCCACATCTGTCCCCTGCAACATGAGGGGTGCTTTCCAGTGGTAAATTCATAAAGCTCTCTCGGGGAACAGCACTGTAACAGCTTTGCTCTACCAGCTGTGTTCAGCAAGGAGGGTTCAGAGCAAGGTTCCCTTGTGACAGACAGACAGAGGCTCGGAGACTTGGAAATCCACGCCTTGACCCTGCAGCTTGGAGGTAGGGGAGCAAGACAGTAATGGTGGCTGTCCCCAAAACCACTTCATCACTGGCTACATGGCGTCCTGGCAGGTGGGAAGCCCTGCAGGTGTGGCTTTCCCTTACCCTCCCTCAGTTCTCTTGAATGAACACAGGAGTTGGCAAAGAGGCATCTGGGAGCACCGCCCACAAATCATGTTTGCCACTCTCACGTGCTTCATGATCCTGAGTCGTGAGCACCCCCTCTCCCAAAGGAGCCTGGCCCTGTGCCCATGTGTCCACTTGTGGTGTCATCCCAGAGTTAAGGCCTGCCATGGCCTCTTCCACGTGCCTTTGGAAACCCCCTGTGGAAAATGCACACTCACGATGATTCTGTGTGCTGACAAATGTTACTGTTTCCCCAAAAAAGGCTGGTGGGGAGGGGCCGGCAGGGAGAGGCAATCAGGTGAAATCATCAGGGGCCCTGGCTCAGGTCCCGCAGCCAGGGCCTTGCATGCATCTGTGTTCACATGCACGTGTGTATGTGTGCGCATGCTGTATAGACATTAAGGAGTGTGTACACTTGTGCAATATGTGAGGACACATGTGTGCATACACGTGCATGTGCATAACTACTGTGCACGTGTGTGTACTTGTGTGTATGAGCGTGCAGTGGTGAGGGCAGAGGGCACAAGGGGTGCCCCTCATGCTGGCCTCTTGGCTCTGGGCTTCAGCTTTCTCTTCTGCACAGTGAGGGCAGCAATGTCCCAACAGAGAGCTTGTGACTGGGTGGAGTTGCAGTTGAGGGTCAGGGGAATGTCCACTGGCCTCAGCCTTGGGGATCCCTCAGAGGAGATGCCTGTCAAGTGGCTCACACCGCCTAAGGCAAGAGGCCCTGGCGGGGGGTGTCTGCTGATGGAAACAAGGGCAGAGCACCAGGCCCCTGGTTTGTGTTCACCCTCCTGGTGTCCACAAGGATACTTCCAGGATGGGTCCTGAGGCTGAGGCCAGTGGTGGAAACAAGATGGGCAGTCCCATCAGTCGCAGGAGCAGACCCTGTTCCAGAGGCACAGGGGCCCCACTTTCAGGACACATGAAAGGCTGGCTGTGGCCAAATTCCAGGCCCAGGGCAGGGCATGAGGAGCCAGCTCCCAGGACCTCAGATGCATAGTGGCCTTTTTCACTTCTTAAAGATCTAAAAGATTCCGTGGACTGCTTTGTTCCCAAAGTCTAGCTCTCTTCCCGTGGGCAGGGTGGTTCCCTGCCACAGGTGTGACCACAGATGTATCTGACATGGCTGAAGCCTGGTCCCTGCACCTGCTCAACCCATGCTTGGCAGCACCGACTACTCATTCACCCTAATGATGGATGGGGTGGGCTTGAGGGTTCTAACTCTGTTGGGACCTCTGTTCCCAGGTGACAGTCGCTGGCCTGGGGTGTGAAGGAGCTAAGGCTCTGGTGGCTAGATAGTGTCCAAGAGGCCAAGGAAGAGGACCTGGCAAGCAGGGTGGATGCTGGGTGTTTCCTTGGACAATCATAGGAAAGGACAGGGACAAGGTGGACTTGAGCTCAGACCTGGCCTAATATCCTCTTTCCCCCTTTACTACCTGAGTGACACTTTTTCTGGGCCTCAGTGTCCTCATTAGGAAAGTGGGGATAATGGCCCCTACCTTCCAGGTATGTTGGAGGAATCAGACTTAACACATGTGAATGCTCAGAGCAGCTGATACCCCCACTACAGGCCTACAGAGCCCACTGCTACCCCCAACCCATGGTGGCCAGGCCTGGGATACAGCATCAGCAGCAGAGCTGCTAGGCCAGTGGCCCAAGTCCACCTTCCCCACCTAGGCCCATGAGGCTGGACAGAGACCAGATATGGGGACTACCAAGGGTACTAGGCAGGAAGAGTCAGAAAGGCTCAGAGGTGGAGCAAGAGTGGGGACAGTGTGGGGCACAGCATCAGAGGACATCTGACATGGTGAGCCTCGGTGGGGGGCACCTTGCCCTGGGCCTTGGCTGGACTCAGGTACGAGGAGCACCCTCTGACTCAGCCCACACTGGAGCAGCTACAGTCAGAATCATGTAGGAAATCCTGAGATGAGGGAGAGAGACAGCTTGAGCAGACTTGAACGTTTAATATCATTAAGCACCTTGTGGGATAAAGGTTCTTCATATAGAAATTATAAATAATGAAAAATAGCATTTAGAAAAAGAAGTGCTGTCCCCGGGGCGGGCAGCCACGGGATTCTTTGGTTGAGCAGAGGGCAAGATCCTCCAGGTCTGGGTCTGTCACAGCGCCCTGAAGTCATCTGCCAGGAAGGCCAGCAGGTAGCGGCTGACATGCCTGTCGATGATGACAGGTGAGAAGCCAAGGATCCGCCGGGCCCCTGGCAGCACTTTGGGGTCTGAAAGACACAGGAAGGAAAAATGTAAGAGCCAGCCGTGAAGGGGACTCTGTTCTGCCTGGCCAGGTCACAGAGAACTGGAGCCACCGTCACTCTCTCCCACTCTGTCACTCCCTCTCATTCACAGTCTGGGTGTTTGAGTTCACAGACAAGAATCTAGGCAGACCCTGGAGCCCAGGGCTCCCTAGGAGACCCACAGGCCTTCAGTGTGAGGGCTCTGGGGATGTGCACCTGGGCCCCACACCCTTCCTGGGGCGACAAATTCAGGCATCACAGAAAAGAGGAGGCGGGGCCATCCGCACTGCATGGCAGTTGTTGGCCCTCAGCGGTCTCCTGCCTGCCAGGCCTGTGACACCATGGGCAGAAAGACTGGAGGCTCTGGGGAGGTGGCCTGCTCAAGGGCCCCACATGGCTCGAGCTCACAGGTGTGGCAGGGCTTTGCAGCTGCCCCCTCCTTCCAAGGCTCCTCATTCTCTGATGCTGGGGGGAAGCAGGAGCCACCAAGGGCTGGGGGGTGGTGGCTCCACACACTCGATCCCTTATGAGCCCTGCCAGGTGGTCCTGAAACCGTGTCACTGCACAGGTGGGGAAACTGAGGCAGGAAGAGGCCGGGGGCTGACACAGGCAGACCTGGGATGCAGCCCTGCTCTCCCGGGGTCTCTTGAGGGCCTACCTGTACCCACCTGGAGGGCAGCAGTAGAGGAAGAGGGCCAGTCCAGCGGCCAAGCCAAGGCCCGCCAGGAAGCTCATGGGTCCTGGGGAGAAACAAGTGTGAACAGGCCCCTGCCCCGAGCCAGAGCAGCTTAGGGGGCCTGTCTACTGAAAGAAAGCCAGGAATGGAGCCCGACTTGGGATGGAGCAGCCCCTGGGACAGAGCCGGAGCCCTGAGGGTGGGAGGAGAGAGAAAGCAAGAGGGGAGGGAGGTGGTGGGGGGCGTTACCCCTGTCACTCAGCTCATGGCTCTCGCTGCCCCAGTCGAGCTCTGTGCAATCTGAGTTTTCTGGAAACAAAATCACAGAGCACAGTTAGTCATGGGCCGAGCCCGAGAGCAAGGTGGTCACCTCATGGGAAATGCAAGCAATGCCACCTCCTGAGGCCACTAGGCCCTCCCATGGCCACACCGTGCTGTGTGGCTCTGGCCAGGCCAGGACTTGGCAAGTCAGCCCCCTCAGGGAGCCCTGTGGTTTGGGGTCTTCTTTGGTCCAGTTGCTGTGACATCATTGTTGTTGGCCACAAGACACCAAATGCAGCATCCATCGTTCAGCCAGCTACTGGCAGGTGGAGACGGTCTTACTAGGGGCAGCTGGGCTGGGGCTTCTCCCCAGGCCCCTCCTTGGTTCTTTCCAGGAAGTCTGTCTGCTGAGCAGGCCCTGGGGGCTTCTAGGAGCCACAGAAGGTGCTTTACTTTCTGCAATGGCACAGGCCCTAGCTACATTCTGAGGACCCCAGGAACACGTGTGGCTGGGGTGAGAGGGCCTGCATACTCTGCCCTCAAGTGTCCATAGCGTGGAACCTGTGAGGTCTAGTAGGCCTCTAGGGAGCAAAGACACAGGCCTGAGCAGCTTGGGCTGAGCCACATCATCACTCTGGTCAGGGGCAACAGCCCCTCCTCCTCCAGCCCCAAGCACAGTGGCCTCAGAATGGAGCCACCATTCCAGCGTTGTTGTACCCTCCCTGGTCCCAGAAGCTCAGAGGACCCCAGACCCTTGGGACTTGCACTCCTTCCAGGGCCTGGGGATACACTGTCTTTGAGACAAAACTCTCTAAATCAAAATGTGCGAGCCCTAACTGGCCATCCATGCACGCTCAGGCAAGCTGTGGCAGAAGGTGAGAACGTCAGTGTCTGCCATGAATCAGGTCACTCCAAGAAGGGATGGCCTGGGAACACCATGCAGCCGCAGGACAGGGCTGCCATCAGTGCGGACAGGAGAGACCCGTGGGGAGTGGAGTTAGGAAAGGAAGGAGGAGCAGCTGTAGGGGAGGCTGGCCTCTGAAAACTGACCTGAGAAGGAGCGACAGACTGAAGGAGGAGAGTGGGGAGAGAACGAGAGAAGCAGAGACCTGGAGACAGGAGGAGAGAGAAGAGCAGGGAAGGAGAAGTGGGGAGACAGAGGGAGAGAGGGGAGCAGGAAGACAGGAAGAGGCAGGCAGAGAGATCCCTGCTGGGGTGACACTCTCCCAAGGTGGAGGTGCAGGAAGGAGGGATGCCCAGGCCTGGGCCACCGCAGACTCAGATGGCCCTGATGCTGTACACGCCATCAGCAGCCAGCCAGGATATCCTGCTCGGCCCTCGTGGAGCGACAGTAGGGGGGACTTACGCAGCACGTGGCGGCTGGGCAGGCAGCTGTGCAGGGACTGGGCGTGGATGTACAGGGCTCGGTAGAACTCCTGGCAGTCCCGCTCCCCGCTCCGCTGCAGATGGCTCAGGAGGTCACAAAGTCGTCGGCGCAGGGACACCTTGGGGTTCCGAAACTGGGAAAGGAAGAAAGAGCAGGCTGGAAGGGGTGAAGGGGGGGCAGGGCCGGGTGCTGGGCTCACAGCCCCCAGCAGCAGGGTCCACCCACAGATGGCAGTGCCTGCAATACCCATGGCCTCTTAGCCACACCACGTGGCCCTGACAACGCCACAGTCATGGGCATTGCTGCCGATCCTTACTCTTTGGGTGTGTGGGGGGGGAACATTCTGGGGAAAAAGCACAGGCAGAGGACAGCATCCTGCAGCCACTAATGGACGTAATGTGGCTTCCCGTGGGACTACAGCAAGTTTCTTCAACCCTCTCAGTCTTGGTTTCTTTATTTATAAAAAGGGAATAGTAAACCCACATGGAAAGATCGTTACAGGGTATCAATGAAGTCATGGCATAAGTGACAACTTCTGCGAATTTGCAGTCCCTGAGAACAAGCTTCCAGTATTTAAAAATGAGTTGAGAAATGAATGGGCTCTTCTGACGAGCGTAATGGGTGAACATGTGGTTGTAAAGGTCAGTGGACAGAGGGCTTGGACAGGGACCAGGAAGCTGTGGCCTGTTGCTTCCCCCTGGTGGTGACGTACATGGCTATAGGGAACCACCACAGCGTGACAAGAGCCAACAGGAGTGTCTGGTGTAGAGTGGTTCCCCTTTCCACTGTAAAAACACCTAAAAGCTTTCAAAATTTTAAAGATGGGTATGAATTAGACTTTTAGTTACGGCCTGAGATGCATTTGAGTTGATCATTTTAAATCCTTCTGTGACTTTTAAAATAGAGCAGCACCTGAGTCTGCAGCAGCCCACATTGGGTCTAGCTCTGTCCTGACCAATCCTGCCTGTTCCAGGAGAGCCCACCCCTCAGGGCAGCCTTGTAAGTGGCACTGTGACTCTCACACCAAGTGAGAACTACAGCTCCAAGTTGGGAAGGGACTCATTCAGGGTCACCCAGTGGTGAGGCCACGCGCAGGACCTGAACTCCAAAGATCTTGTGGGTCTCTGGCACCAGCTGCCCAGCCCTCCAGTCCTGGTGACTGCTGCCAGGGAACGGGCGATTAGGGAGGAGCTGGGGCTTGGGTCAGGGCATGCTCAACTCTCTCATCCAGTGTCCCTGAGCCCTGGGGCACCCTTTAGTGTCCCTTAGCCCCATAGGAGTTGGACAGGATTAGACCTCCTGGGACAGAGCTCAGGAACTGCATCTCAAATGTCACATTCAGTGCAGCCAGTGTGGCATCTACAGCTCTGAGAAAGCCAGGGTGTGACCTCACCTCCTGTGATGGATGACCCAGGGCATGTGACAGCTTCTTGGGCCGCAGCAACCTTTTCTGTAAAAGGGTGATGATGGTGGCTACTTGCAGGGACCCTTCTGGATGGAGAGCACCCAGGAACTACTTTCCTGACACATATGAGCCAGTCCCCCCCCATGGCCTGTGAGTACCCAGGGCTTCATGCCCACTTCCCAGATGGGAAGCTAAGGTCCCAGTGGACCAACCTCCCTCAGCATTGCGGAACAGGGCAGAGTGAGCTTGGCTATGAGGCAGGCCAGCACCTGTTGGCCTGGAGCCTCGCTGCCCACCTCTGAGGGGCCAGGCTTCCAGCCTCACACAGGCAAGGAAGCAAGTCTTCGCCTCCTTTCATCCTTTGGAAATGCAGTGAGGAGCGGCTGTGGGGCTCCAGGGTGACGCCAGGGGAACTTTCCATCCCTCCCTCCTCAGCCCCTCTCTGCTCTCCCTCCCGATCTCCTGCTGTCGTCTGCTATTGTATGTTGTCATCTGTCACCTCCTGTAGCCCCTCCACAACTCTGGAAGGGGCAGAAGATGTAAGGACATAGGAAGAGACAGGCTGATGTTCTGGGTCTGTTGGGGTCACTCCACAGAGTTTTGACTTAGGCAACTCTAGTGTCCGGGCCCAGGGGTGTCACTGTGAGCTACCCTGAAACATTTGGTGTGCCATCCCCTGAGAAGATGACCACAGTGCCTGCTCCCCCCAAGTCTGGAAAGGAAGGGGATCAAGAGGCATCTTGGGTACCCCCACCCTCACCTCCTCAGCACCTTTTCGGCCTCCTTGTTGGTGAGGATCTGTGGGTAGTAGCGATTCAGCTGAAGGATAATCCTGTCCACCTGCTGCTCACTCAGGCGCCCTTGGACTGTCAGGAAAGGCGTGTCCTGCACCAGGCGGTCACAGTAGGTCTGATCTGAAACAGATGCAGGTAGCACAGGACATGAGCCAGCGCAGCTCCAGGGGGTCCAAAGACAGCGCCCTTAGTTCTGGTCGTAGGATGCCCCATACCCACTGGGAAGGCAACACGCTCTAGGGGACACACCTGTAGGTTCACAGGTCCCCTATGCTGCAGAGCGGGCATCATGTGCAGGGAGAACTGTGCCCTGCCCACCAACATGGCTTGCCAGAGATGGATGGGGGCAAGCACAGTGGGAACCCCGGGGGGGGGGGGGCTGCATTCTCTGCCCCTTTTCTATGCCCAAGGGCTTACCACAGGAAATAAACTCAGAGAAATGAAAAAGCCTCTTTCCATGGGGCCATCTGGAACTAGTCCGGGTCCAGGGAGGCTGCAGGCAGCTCAGAGAAGGCCCAGGGGCTGTGCAGCTCCGCTGCCACGCAGATGCAGAAATGCAGGGCTCAGGGGCCTGTGCTGGCATCACCCTGGCATAGAGCATGTCTAGAAGGCTTTGAGAAGCTTCCACCACCAACAAGCCCTCCCAGGGAGCTGGGATGCTTTGTCTCTTCTCTTACAGAATCTTTTTAAAATCATCATTGTTCTACTGTCTTCTCCATTAAGAACTTGACCAAACTGTATTATGTTCCATATATGAATACACTTCAGTGAATCTTACCTTTATGTATATCCATAAGGCACTAATTTAAAAAAAAAACTATAAATAAAAGAAAGATCAGTAAAGGAAAAGGAACAGGGGAGGGAAAAGAGGAAAAGGGGGTGAATTAGAGCAAATTACATCCCATAATACTATATATAACTGAAATGAACTCATAACAAAAAAGAACGCTTCATAGAAGGACAGGTCTTTAAAGCTGAGGGGTGGTGGGAGGTGGGCAGGCACAGAGAGCACAGGATCCCTGTGGGGACTGTGGCCACTTAACTTGAGGATATTATATGTAATCTTCATGTTTCTGTGTGTATCTGGAACGTACACAAAAGGAAATAAGCGAGGCTGGCGCTGTAGCTCAGGGGCAGAGCACTTGCCTAACATGTGTGAGGCACTGGGTTCGATCCTTAGCACCACATAAAGACAAATAAAATAAAGGCATTCTGTCCATCTACTACTACACCAAAAATTAAAGTTAAAAAAGTAATAAGGGAATAAAAAATGTGTTACAACAAAAAAAAAATGAACTAAACACAAAAGCAATAATGGAGGAAACGAGGGTCCAAAAAAGTTACAAAACATACAGAAAACAAGGAGCAAAATGGCAGAAATAGGTCATTCCTTATCAGCAATTACTTTAAGTGTAAATGTAAATAGGTTAATCTCTCTAATAAAAAAGGCACAGATTAAGCTGGGCCCAGCTGCTCAGGGGGAAGACTGCAAGTTTGAAGCCAGTCTCTGCAACTTAGATCCTGTCTCAAAATAAAAAAGGATTGTGGATGTAGCTCAGTGGTACCCCTGGCTTCAATCCCCAATAACTAACATATGTGCGCACGCGCGCACACACACACACACACACACACACCCCATATGCACACGCGCACACACACACCACATACACACACACAAAAGAATTGAGCAGACACTGTAAGATGTACAATAAGCAAATAAAAATGATTAACATTACTAACTGATAGGAAAATGCAAATTAAAACTATGCTAAAATAGCACTATATACATACTCATAGCTAAATATTAAAAGAACTAGTGTTGGGGAAGCTGTGAAGAAGTTCAAGTTCTACTTCACTGCAGGTGAAAATGCAAAATAGCGCAGCCACTGTGTAAAACAGCATAACAGTTCCTCAAAACCATAAAGAGAAATTTTAAAGAAAAAATGGGGGTCACAGAAAGCAGATCAACCCCTAATTTAGGGGAGATTATCTAAGAAGGAGCACAAAAGATCAGAGTGACAAATGAGCTGTCTTGATTCTGTACAGGCTGATAGTTACACAGCTATGGACATTTGTCAAAACTTATCCAACTACCCACTAAAAACTACTGCATTTACTAATAAGATTTACTTCTGTAAGGTTGCTCTTTTATAAAATAGGGTCATAGTGTTGGAAAAAGTGGGCCCCTTCTTTAGTTTCAATTCTGGGGAAGGAAGCTGCTCTGGTTCACAGCCATTGCCTCTGCCAGGCCCATGCTTTGGCACATCAGCCATGCCATCATTTGCCTAAGCCATCACCATGGCCACACCAAAGGCAATTGGGGACTAGGAAGCCTGGTTGGCCCAACATCCTGCGTGGAAGATAGATTGCCAACAGCCCAGCCACAGTGAGGGGTCGCCCTAAGCACGGGGTCATCCAGTGACCTCCCAAAGTCACATGGCCAGGTGTACTGGGCAGTCTGGCCTCATCTCTCATTGCAGAGTGAAGATGAACTATTTGCATGAAGCAATCCCCCATGCTGGGTGAGCCATACCCTCCATCCTTCCACCAGCTCTACACAACCCCTGCTCTTGTCTTCAGAGAAACCGAGGCACAGAAAGCAGACTCCAGTCAGCTGGGAAGTAACAATTGCAAGGTCAGGAACTGGGTATAGTTGCATTGGGGCCACCTCTTGGCGTCCAGATGTTCTGCCGCTCTCATTAACATACAAATCAATGGTGTAACTGGCTATATGAGTCTGCTCCCTGCCAAACAGGAGCAAGCCCCAGGCTGCCTGTCCAGTGCTGTCTCCCCAGGGTGCACTATGCCATGTACACAAAGCCAAGCACAGTGTGCGCTCACTAAGGAGTTCTGGAATAAATGGGTACTGGTCCAAGGCCCACGGGTGAGGTCTGTTGGTGGACAGTGGCCAGCATCCTCTAGCAGCCTCCTCCCACCCTGCAAGCCGCTACCCTAGCAGGGCTTCTGCTGCCCACAAGCCATGAGTCATAGAAGCCCTGAGTCACCTGGCACGGGCAGCACAGCCCAGGGGCTGAGGCTGGCTGCATGGCTCCAGGCTGGGCTTCCTGTGGTTCTTGTGAGCTATGCATGCAAACCACACATACACAGCCACTGGGAAGCACCAAAAGACAGAAGCAGGGCCCCGCCTCGGAGCCAGGCCCTGGTAAACAAGGCCAGGACTGTTTTCATAGGATAAAGGAAAATGGATTGCCCTGTGAAAAACCCACACATACTTTTGCCAAGACCCACCCATGCCCTCGCCTTCCTGCCCAGCTGATGTCAAGCAAATGGATGCCACTCTTGTCACCCCAGTCTGAATTCTTTCTCCTCATCCCAGACCAAAGCCCTCAGCCTGGCATCTAGGGCCCTGGGGCAGTTCTCATCAGACCCCAACAGGCCCCAGAGCCCTCCTGCTTGGGCCAAGAGCCCACAACCATGCCAGGGTTGAGAACAACTAGTTAACTGGTACCCAGCCTATTGTCCTCCTGAGTTCCTCTAGCCCCACCCTACTCAGGTCCAGACCCTTAGGCATCAACCGTCTTCCCAAATCTCTTCCAGAAGCCCCTCTTGTCCCAGCACCCAGTTTAACTAAGCTAACTCCACAGCACACCACGAGTCGGGAACTTCAGCTGAACACCTGCCCTGGCAGACACCGTCTTCAGTGTTCTCCAGACACCTGCTTATGCATGCTTGCTGGAGTGAGAAATGTCTAGAGGTCCAGCAAGGAGATGGGAGGAAGAAAGGGTGCACTGTTTCCACAGTCTTGAGGACCCCTGCCTGGCTGTGGCCTCTCAGTTGGAGGGTCCCTTCATCAAGAAGCCTTCTCTGGCCCCCTGTTCCCCTTGGAGTGAGCTACCTCTATATTCAGCGCACCCAGCCCCTATCGTAGCCCCTAAAGGCCAACACAGCTGCAAGCTGTGTCTCAGGCATCCTGATGAACTTGCTAAAGGAGCTGGGCACTGAAGGCGCTGGGGCCAGGGCTCTCACTCTGTCTCTGCCACTTTGTTTCCTGGATCATATACAGACATAACATTCCCCAGGAAGTGCCCAATGCAGGACCCAGTACATACTAGGTACTCAGAAATGGCAACCACAAATAAGAAGCGTGTGTGGCAATGACAAAAGGGAGCAGGTGGCAGCTGGGATCTCCTCTGGCCTGGTATCCTGGAAGTTACTAGGTTCCAGCTCATGAGTTCCTATTTTTGTGCAGGACTCAGGCCCAGACTCCAATGAGTGCAGAGGAGGGGAGTGAAGACTTCTGGAGCCACTCTGACCCCCTGGGTCACCTCATGTGGCAGAAAAGTGAGACTCTTAGGAACAAGGTGTGGCATCTGGGAGCTCCCATATTCCCCCAACTGCTCTGCCATGGGGTCCCTCACTGGCCCATCACTCCCGTGAACTTCTTTCACAGGGAAAAGTCCACAGAGCAGGAGATGGGAAAGAAGGTGGGTGGCTCCCCCAACCAGAGAGGCCCTGGGGAATGGGGTAGGCAGGCTGGAGCCACTAAGTCTGGAGCACAAATGTCTTGAGGAGAGTCCAGCTGGTGTCTCCGATTTCCCCAAGCCTGTCTGGGGTAAAGGGGTGCGGCTGGAACCCGAGCGAGCAGGAAGTGCTAGAGTCCGAAGAGTACCACACAGTGCCCAGGAACGCAACGCCCACGGTGCCCCTTCCTCCAGGTGGTTGGGATGAGTTTGGTTATCTCCTTGCCCAAATCACTGCAGCCCCGCAGTGAGTACCACTTCCTACTTCCAGACCCAATCCCATCCCGGGACGCCTCTCCAACCCACAGATGCAGCGGCAGAGCCCGACCGTGGTACTGCACTGTGCCCGAGCTCACCTGTGATCTCTGCCTCCTCGGTCCGAACCTGGCGCCCCGCCCTCTGTGCCTGAAGACCCCCGGCGCCCACCGCCCCACCGCGCAGAGCCCAGGGAAACCCCCGACACGCGCGATGCTGCACCCGAGTGGCCGCCAACAGCTGACGACCAAGGTCACTCGGCTCCTGCCGCTGGCCTGGCCCTGCGCCCACCTGTCATGGCGGCCGGCACGGCTGTCCGCCCCTCTGTCCGCCGCCCGGCCCCCTGGCTCCGGCGACCGCCGCCCGCAGGTCGGGCCCTAAGCCCCGCCCCTTCCCGCTAGTCCCCGCCCGAATGCGACGGCGACGTCGCCGCCAGCTCTAAACCCCGCCCTTCGACTTGCCCCGCCTCCTCGCGGGCGGGGCTACGACGCCGCGAGGAACTCCTAGCCTCGCCCCTTCCAGATGGGCCACGCCCAGGAAGCGCCGGCTGCGCACCGCCTGGCTTCTAAGCCACGCCCCTCATCCGAGACCAGCCCTCGCGGTCCTGGGCTTCGGCGCCGCCGGGACCACTGAGCCCCACCCCTCGCCGAAGCCCGCCCCTGAGGGCGCCGCCCGGAGTCCCGCTCCCCTAGCGTCATTTCTGACGCCGCGAGGAGCCCCGAATCTCGGCCCCCGTTGGCCCCGCCCCTCGGCCAAGTCCCGCCCCCAACAAGCCTCTCCCAAAGCCCAAGAGCCCCTCCCAGGCCGCGAGCCTCCGAGTCTTTGGCCACGCCCCGACGGCCCCGCCTGCTTGCCGGGTTGAGATCCTGGAGGCCTGGGTGCTGCCAGTCTCCTGCCTTTCAGCTCCGCCCCGGACTACCGCACTTACCTTTGACTTGAGGAAACTGAGACTCAGAGAAGACAAGATTTACCCACGGTCAAGCAGGAGGTCAGTCCAGGGGCAAAAGTCCAGTGGGCATCCAGTAGCCCCCAGAGGTCAACCAAAGTAAGTAGGGCTTGAACAGTGACATTCCTCCAGTCCAGGGGAGACTTGGGACTCAACAGTGTGGCCTGGGTGTGGTGGTTTCCCATTGGGGCACCCATCTTTAAAAGAAAACACTGGCCTGGCATTGTGGCCCTAACTAGGTGTCGCGAAGGCAATAGGTGTGACTTACGCAATCGAGGGGGAGAAATAAAGAATGTCCACGCACTTTTGCCTTTGTCAAGTCACTCAATACAATTTCACTCTACAGGTTCTTAAGCAAGAAAATTACAATCCTTAATGCTAGGCACTGCAATAGACATAATCAATTCACAGCAAACAATTGTAGATTAATTCTAAGCACTGCAAACACGCCTAATCATGACAGCTCATGACAGGCATTCCCTCTGCATGCTAAGTTCAAGTGTCAAGTCAAAAATCTCATGCCTTAGGCTTTAAGTCCAGAAGATGCACACTCACTCAGACCGTGGTGATCAGGTCAGGAACCAAGGCAGGCTTCTCCTGGGCTGGTTGAAGAAAGGGTCATTGTAGGGAAAAGTCACCGTTTTCACCAGGGTCAAGATGTGGCTGTAGAGTTGGAGAGCAGTGGATCAGGCAAAGGATGAGAAGAGTTGAGATGTCGGTCCAGGTCCTCATTAGGCTCTCTGGCATGAAGGCATCAGTGTCAGCTGGCTGAATGTCTGTTCATTTGCTCCTTCATTTATACTAAATTTTGGGACTTTTGACCACCCTTTCAATCCCTATCAGCTGCCACCAGATCTCTCAGCAATGTCATTTACCCTGGGGTTAAAGTATCTGATCTGGTGGTTCCCACCCTGATTTTCTTGAGTTTCCCCTTTATGGGGCAAGGACAACATGCCAGAGACTTCACTCTGAGGTTGAGATGAAGTGACTTGTTTGTGCCTGAGGGCCACACTGGAGGGCTCCATTAGGGGTGCCTGGTGAGACTGCAGGTTTCAGACTGGAGTTTTGAATTGGAGTTGTCTGCTCAGGCCTAAGGACATCCTTACACTAAGGAAGTCAGTTAACCTGCCTGAGCCTTAATTTCCCCACCTATAAAATGGGTGGCTTTGGACAAATCTCTTACCTTCCTGCCCACTACCCCCTCAGTCATAGGCCTGGCCTTTCCAGTTCTGATGCCCACCACAGGAAGCCCTAACCCCATATGATGCAAATGGGCCCTTTCCCAGCTATGAAATGGACACCTGTTATGTAGGGAGGTGGTGACCAGGGCCTTAGAGCCATCAACAATGGACAAGTATTTGGTTTTACTTGTCTTCTCTTCCTGTGCCAGCTGTGCCGAATGAGCACACTAATTTGATGTGTTGGAAGCTGACCAGGAATGGGGGCCCAAGCTCAGAGTTCACTTCTGGGACAGCACAATGGTCTCTCCGGTCCATGTGACCTGCATCACTGTGCCTCAGTTCTCCTCTGTGCTTCAGTCTCTCTTTCTAAAGGGGGCTTATAGGGTAACCCTGAGATTGGGTTGCAGTTATCACCAGGAACCCCAAATTTTGGGGCAGAGTTGTGGTGGTTACTGTACACACTCCTCCCCAAAAACTGGTGAAGAGCCCTGTTCAGCTTCCCCACAAGGCAGAGCAGTTTCAGGGCAGGTAGGAGGCTGTCCTCAGTGCCAGTCTGGGGCAAGTAGAGGAACAGTATGTGCAGACCCTGCCGCAGGGCAGGTGTGTGCCCTGGCCTGTGCCTACTCCTGGGAAAACCTGGGATACCTTCTCCTGCACAGACCCCAGATCCCTGTTGCCACAGTTGAATGCGGCCATATGTTGTATCACACTGTGTTGTGGCACCTAGCACTGACCCCTCTGCATTCATTTTACCCCTGAGAAGTAATGTCAAAGTCATAAGTGCCAGGACTGGGTAGGGACAATGGGAGCGCCAGGTACTGCCCACTTTCAGGGAATCCTGGCACCTTCTAGGAAGGCCAACATCCCACCTTCACATGGACAATGAAACTAAGGCTTAGAGCAGTCCCTTGTCCTAGGTCTAGCAGCCAGGAGGGGTCTTCCAAGTGCAGGCTGCTGCTCTTCAGCAATCCAGACTTTGTATAGGATTTGGCCTAAGGACCCCACCCCAACTCATAGGGACTACACACCTTGTATCACTCAGGATGTGACCTCCAAGCCTGCGGGGACATAAGGCCTCAGCTGGAGGAGGGAAGCTTCAGACGTGCAAGGGGACTACTAGCCCTGATGCCTACCCCAGAGGCTGCAAGTGGGTACAGGTGTCCCAAAGTCCAAGGGTGGGCCCTGGGCACTCTCCCCAACTCTCCAGGCTGGGGGTGGAAGTGGGAATAATGCTGGCATCCTCCCTTCTGTCTGGCTTCTACTGGCTGCAGCTAAGTGGACCCCGTGGAAAGTGAGCTCCTGCAGATTGATAGGGTTGGGGTCCTAGACCCTCACCGGCTTCTCAGGCACTATGAGTCTCACAGGGTGGGAGGACCCAGATCACCCTGTGCAGAATTCTGTGCCATTTAATGTTGCCCTTCACCTCCTGGAGAGCAACTGAAAACCCTGTCCTTGGATATTATCAGAAAAATCATTCAGGACTATTGCAATAGGGGAAAAGAGACTCGGTATAGACGGGGCTCAATCTGGTCACCATAGCATAGCCTCCCAGCTACTCAGGAGGCTGAGGCATGAATATTGAAAGTTAGAGGCCACCCTCAGAAACTTAAGGAGACTGTTTCAAAATAAAAATATAAAATCAAAAATACCAAGAACTCAGTGGTAGAGTGCTCCTGGGATCAATCCCCAGTAATGTGTGCACAAGTGCATGTACACACGCATATGTGCGTGCACACACACAGTACACAACTGGACTCAACTGAATATAGTAAGGACAATTGGGGATTTATAGTCAAGGGGCAGTGGCAGGGCTGGGGCTGGACAGTGGGTGAAAAATTACTAAAGACACCAAGAGTAGGGGGGCATTCTGGCTAAACGAACTGCATGTCCCCTCCAAACCCAAGTTGAAAGTTAATCTTCATTGTGAGATATTTGGAGGTGGGACCAAGTGTGATCAGTAAGATTAGGGCTCAGCCCTCTGAATGGGTGAATCCATCATGGCTCAGTGGAATAATAGATTATTGAGGGAGTGGCTTTGTTATAAAAACAAGCCCGCTCTGTATGACCATGTTATGCCTTCCACCATGCCATGACCTAGCAAGAGCACCTTCATCAGATGCCGGCACCATGCTCCACAACTAAATAGAACTGTATTCTTGGAATACCAGTCTATGGTATTCAGTTAGAGAAACAGAAAATGGGCCAATTGACCTAACAGGATTCTTGCTGAAGGCAGGCCAGGGCAATCAGACATCACCCGGGCATGGCAGTGGGGGATGAGCCCGATCAGTTATCAAGGGGGGTTCGGATATGGAGGATGCTGGGCTCTTGCTAAACTGACTCCACAGCTTTCTTTGCTCAACCTGGATTTAACAAGGAAGTGTACACGTGGTCCTAGGGGAAGGTGAAGGAGTCCAACTAAAGTTTGGTCAGGTAAAGAATTGTCAGGGTCACAAATTCCCTGTCCCTAACACCCTGGCCCAGTTTGTCACCTTGACATGTTTTTTTATCTGATCAGAAAGTAAACACAGTTTTGAAGTTGCACAGGGAAACTTGGCCCTCTGTGGTCGCTTTGCGCTGGGCAGGTGGAGCACTTCCCTGATTTTCACTGGCCAGCCCCCTCCTTACTGCAGGCTCTGCTCTCCTGACCCTTTCAACAGAACACCTCCCTCCCCAGTACATCCCACCTCCAGCCCACTCCCACCTCTGTGACCACCACCCCATTTCTTCCCTGGAAGGTGGCAGCTACTTCCCCACTGGTTCCCTGCCTTGTCTTGTCCCCATAGCCAGTCCGTACATAGGAGCCACAGGGGCTGTGACCCCGAGTTGGATCGTGTCCCCTGGGCTCACAGTCTTCCTATTCTTCCAGCAGCCACCTCTGCTATTTACAGACCTTTGCATGTGTTGTGCCCTCCACCAAAACGTCCTTCCTATTGCCCCATCTGAAATCCTCCCTCCCTTGGGCTCTGCTCCAGTGTCGTCTTCTGTGTCCCCAAGTCTCCATTCTTCAGAGTGTTATCACTGCCTGATAAATGGCTTCCCTACTGGCTGTCATGCTACAGAATCCACTCCACATGGCTAGTACGCAGGAGGTGTTTAATGAATGCACATGAATAACATGTTGACAACTCAGAAGGACAGCCAGGTGTGTTGGAACAGGCCTTTAGTCCCAACTACTCAGGAGGGCGAGGACAGACACTATAAGACAGGGTGATGGGGCCAGAGTGGCCTTCTTGAGAGGCTGAGGCTGAAGATAGGGTGTTCCCAGGCCAGGGCAGGGGTCATGGCCCCCATGGGCTGCTGGAGGCCTGCTTGGCTAGAGCCAACCACAACCATGCACAAAGGCAACGTGCGTGGTGAGGAAAAGCAAGAACATGCTCCTCCCACACCACACATCACCAGGGGGCACCATTCATCCATTCATTTATTTATTAAATCATTCAACAAGCGTCTCCTAAACATGTGCCCAACCCAGAGTTAGATCCCAGGGAGGCAGAGGAAGTCCTGCCCCACAGAGCCCCTGTGACCAGAGGACACAAGTAATCATGCTAATAAGTGCTATGAAGGACAGTTGGAGAAGCAAATGGTGGCTGGTGGGGCCACCTGACTCCAGACAGCCCTAGTGGTGACATCATTGTATAGTGTCCTCCTACAGTGACCCAGGCTGATCTGTGTGACCAGTGAAGTGGGGGCAGAGATCTTGGCGTGTAATTTCTAAGGCTGGGTCTCAGAGGTGTTGAGGCGTCAGCCTTGTGCCTTTGGATAGCTTGTTCTGAGGGAAGCAGCAGCCATGTTATTAGGATGCTCAGCCAGCCCTGTAGAGGCCCCCCACCCCAACTTCCATGAGTGATTCAATCCTCTTGGAAGTGGATCCTCCCTCCCAGTGAAGCCCTCAGATAGGACCATCCCTGGCTGACATCTGCCCATATATCACAAGAGACCCTGAGCCCGAATTTCTGATACAGATAATAATATATATTATAATATATAACATGTACTTATATATATTGCAATAACCAAAAGGCGGAAACTGTTCAGATGTCCATCAGTGGATGAAAGGATAAATAATATGTGGTCCATTCATACAGCTGGAATGTTATTCAGCCTTTAAAAAGAAGGACAGGGCTGGGGTTGTTGCTCTGTAGTAGAGCCTTGCCTGGCATCTGTGAGGCCCTGGGTTTGATCCCCAGCACCACATATAAACAAACACATAAAAAGTCCATTGACAACTAAAAAAAATTATTAAAAAAAAAAAAAGGAAGGAAGGACAGCCAGGTGTGTTGGAACAGGCCTGTAGTCCCAACTACTCAGGAGGCTGCGGCAGGAGGATCACTTGAACTCGAGGCCAGCCTGGGCAATATAGTAAGACCTCCATCTCAAAAAGAAAAAAACATTTAACAGGGACAGTGTTTCAGTCTGAGAAGATAAAAAGGTCTGCAGATAGATGGGGGTGATATAACAGTATGAATGTATTTGATGTCACTGAACTGTATGTTTAAAAATGGTTAAAATGGCACATTTTATGTTATGTATATTTTTCTACAATAAAAACAACAATGATAAAACAGGTGTGGAAATGAGCTCTGGGGGGCTTGACTGGAGGCAAAGAGACTAGGAGGCCACTTTTTAATGGTCCGGGCTTGGGATGCTGGCAAGTGTGGAGTGAGTTAGGAGGAAGCAAGCCAGAGGACTTGCTGAAGGATTGACTGAGGCCTGAGAGAAGGGGAAGAGCCCTGGGTGCTGGCCTGGAGGAAGGGAGGGAGAAAGACTCCAAGGTCCTCGGGCCATGCCGAGACCAAGACTAGTAATTGCTCTACCAAGAGAGCGCTGTCAGGGACCCCACCTGAAGGAACTGGCACACCCACTTCCTGTCTCTTGGGATGCTTCCTCTTGAAACTCAGCTGCCATGCTGCAGGAAAGCTCAGGTCACATGATGTTTCCACCGAGAGCCTCAGTTAAGGTCCCACTAGACATACTAGAAGACACTTCTGGAAGATTCCACCCCCGGCCACTGCCCAAATGCAGTGGCATGTGAGAAACAAGCAGAAGCAAGAACCACCTCACTGAGCCCAGAAAATATGCAGAAAGAACCAGGACAGGGGGTGGGGGGGGTGGAGACAGCATGGGGGGGGCCACTGCTGTTGTTTTAAGCCACCACATTTGAGGATGATTCGCTACATGGCAATAGAAAAAGGAAGCAGACAGGTAACCAACTTTCCCCCCAATGTCTCTCTATTGGGGAAATATTCTGCAGAGTAGTGATGTCTCCTTTGTGCCCATTCCATTAATGCAGCCACTTGATGATCTGAATGACATCATTCTGGGGGGACTCGTACGTTTCTTTGATAATTCGGCTTTGCATTCTCTGAAGTCATTGTTCTCACCAACTCTAAATTTAAGACAGCTGAATCAGGCCTCAATGGACTTGAATCAGCATGATGTTGCTCATGGCCATCTGGTACCCCTGGAGAGTGACCTCCTGGTACCTTGTTCACCTGAGAGTGACCTTCTGGTACCTTAGTGGCTTGGTGAGGTCAGTCTGGTTGAGGTGACATGAGCAAAACCCATGAATGTGACTTCTTTTCAGGCCAGAGCATTTTGTGGCTGTTGCAAGCCCCTTCAACATCCCCCTCCTCTGTCACAGATTGTGGACACTTGCATTGGAATGGGGCATGCTTCACGAGCCAGGGGCTCTGGTGACACCACTGAGCAGAGTCCCTGCCCATCAGCTGGACATGTACTGTGAGCAGGAAATAAACTTAGTGGTTTGAGACCCTGAGATTCGGGAAATTATTTGTTTCAGGCACATAAACCTCCCAGATGTTGACAGATATCATAAAAATTACTGATTTCTTGAACCAAGGTTATGGTTTAGATATGAGGAGTCCCCCCAAAGCTCATGTGTGATAAAATGTGAGAAAGTTTACAGGTGAAATGATTGTTATGGGAGTTTTAACCTAATCAGTACATTAATCCCCTAATATTGACCGGGTGGTCACTGTAGGCAGGTAGCGTGTGGCTGGAGGAGGTGGGGTGTTGGGGGTGTGCCTTTGGGTTCTATATTTTGTTCTTGGTGAGCAGAGCTCTCTGCTTTCTTGCGCCTTTCCCCAGCTGCTTTCCTGTCTAACATTCCCACCATGATGTTCTGCTTTGCCTCAGGCCCAAAGGATGGAGCAGGCCCTGTCTGCACTGAGATCGCTGAAACCCCAGATGAGCTTTCCCTCCTTACAACTGTTCTTGTCCGGTCTTTTGATCACAACAGCAAAACAGCTGACTAAACAATAAGTAAGTGGAGAAGAGCGAGGTGGCCTCCAGGCAGAAGTGGTGCTCAGGCCCTGCAGGAAGCAAGATAGGCGTGTCCAGGAAACCACAGGCAACATGGTGGTAAGCGGTCCCTCTGGTCCCGGGAGTTGGACATCTAGGGGTTTTATTTGGGGGGTGGCAATTGGGGGCTAGCTCCCCCTTTGCTTATTCCCAGAGGAGGAGCCCCATAGCTTCAACTACCCTGAGGTAGACCTCAGCCTGGCTCCTGCTCCAGGCTGAGGTCTATCCAGCTGCACTCCCAGGTCGTGCTGCAGGCTTTGGGGGTGGTGGAGGTGCAGTGTGCTGCACTTCCTGAGGCTGGAGCGCCACAGCTCCCCTGGACAGCAGCTCTGCCCTGCTAGGCCCCTTGTTGCTCCCCACCCCTCTTGCCTTCCACCTTCTGCAGCCCCTCCGTGGCCATCTGGATACTCATTGGTTGGTGACTCTCAGCTACTAGGAGCGGCAGTGGCTAGGGTCAGCCACCTGGGCACACCTTCAGGGCAGGCCTCTCACCCCTGACTGCCCCATGTGGCCTCTGCCAGCTTGGTTCTCACCTTACCCTGATGGGGTATGAAGAGGGCTTGGTGGGGCTGGAACTTGGCATGAGGAGATCCTGGAGCCTGTTGTCACCCATGCCAAACCCTGGCCAGGGCTCTGAAGACCCAGAAGGAACTTGGTGGTTTCTGACCCCTGCATCCAGATCCACAGCAGCCTGGCCACCTGGGCACTGCCCAAAGTCCTATGCCTGAGCTTTCCCCTTCTGTGTCCTGCTCTATAGCCCAAGCAGGATATGCAAGCTCAATCCCTGGCTATCAGCCGGAAATAGGACATCCAGGTATCTCTCAGCTGGGAACTTACCACATCTAGGGTGTTCATCAGATGCATCAAGTATTTGGTTATCAGTGACATGAAAACTTGACAAATACTTTGTAGGCAAGGAGCAGCAAGAGTTACAGACCGCTGCTCAGGCTCCTTCCAGACCTCAGGCTCCTCTTCTGGTTCTTCCTCATGACCACAGTGTGGCTGCTGGGCCTCCAGGTAGGAAGCAGGGGAAAGTCAACTTTTTTCAATGGCCAGAAACAGGTCACACTCCAAATTGTGGAAGGCTGCATATATTTTTAATTGACCCAAGACAAATATGGGGTTCAGAGGTGAAGAGAGGATGGGACCTAGAGCTATGAGATGATCTCCATCTTTTTTTTTTTTTTTTTTTTTGGATACTTGGGATTGAACCCAGTGGTGCTTAACCACTGAGCCATATCCCCAGTCCTTTTACATTTTGAGACTCTGTTAAGTTACTTGGGGCCTCACTAAGTTGCTGAGGCTGGCTTTGAACTTTCAATCCTCCTGCCTCAGCCTCCCAAATCACTGGGATTACAGGTATGCACCTTCATGCCCAGCTCCCAAGTTCATCTTAAACTAAAACAAGAGTGCAGCATCTTCTAATGCCAGGAGTGCCCTGGTTGGATGCACACAAAATATAGCTGGGCTGCCCAAGTTGTTCTGAGACCCAGGCTGGAGGGGTAAGAGCTGGGGCCCTCTTCTATAAAATTGTCTTGGTAAGTAGTTGACTTAAAGGTTTGTGATGGCTCTAATTCCCACCCCACCCCCACCCCAGTGCTAGGAATCAAACCCAAGAAACCCAAGGTTTATCAGCTGCCACTGCCAGTGTGGCCCCATGATGAGCTGTTTGTTTTTTTTTTTTTTGTACAGGTGATTGAACCCAGTGGGGCTATACCACTGAGCTACACTCTCAGCTGTTTAAATTTTATTTTGAGACAGGGTCTTGCTAAGTTGCCCAGGCCAGCCTTGAACTTGTGATCCTCCTGGCTCAGCCTCCCGAGTCATTGGGATTACAGGCATGTGCCACTGTGCAGGGCTCCCACGATGGTTTTAAAGCGCATCCCTCATTTCTTCACCACTTCCTAGCTGTGGAGCCTAACACCCCACCCTGGACCCTGGGGCCACCTTGATGAATAGGACAGAGCAGAAGACTTCCAAGGCTGACAGCGAAACAGCCTCTCTGATGCTCACACTGTCACTTGGAAAGCAGCCACTGTGATGCAAGGGAGCCACAGGGGGTAGCCGGGAGGGTGGACCCGCTGGCCAGTACTCCATGAGGTCTCTGCTGACTGCCAGCAGCAACCCCAGGTCTGCAAGGGATGCCACCACCACAGGAGAGACTGAGACCACCCAGCAGATCCCTGGCAAGCCCAGAGCACTGCAAGGGAACAAGGGCTGAGGTTACATAGGGATGGACAATGGGGACAGTGGTATGCACCTTCTTTTTTACTTCTTAGTAATACAATTATTTCCCTCACTTGCGCTTTACATAGATAATACAGGACCCTCCATGGGTTCCTGCTTTGAAACAGCACCTCCTGCCCAGGAAGGTGCCAAGGTGGCCATCCCATAGTTGCTGAAAAGTTTATTGCTGTCTTCTTATTCTACTACGCAAAACTAGAATATCTCTGTCTCTTAAAAGGAGCCCTGGTTAGAGGGGAGGCGATCTACTACATTAAACGTAGCAGCAGCAGCTGGTTCAAGGGAGCCATTACTATAAAGTCGCCACAGCTGGGCTCCTTTGGGACCGCAGGCTCCTCACTAGGGCCCCCAGCCTGCTAGTGCCCTCCGCTTCTGGAGTCAGCTCGGCCCCGAGGGGTCCCTGCACCTGGAGGCAGATTCCACTGTAGATCCCCAGCTGGACACGCCGGACACGTGGAGTTGCAGGGGCCTGGATGGTGACGTCACCCTGGGAGGTCCATCGTGGACCGTATGGGCATCCCTGTGGCTGTCCCTGAAGCAGGCAGGCCCTGCCCTGGGTTCACAGTGTGGATGACCACACGGGTGCTGGACGAGTGGGAGGGGCTGCTGGGCCCCGGAGTCCCCGGAGTCTGGGAATCCTTGTCCACACTGTGGGCCATGCCAGCCAGTTCCCTGATGCCTTCGCTGAGGTCTCTGTGGGGAGAGGAGGCATGAGCTGGAGAGTGGATGGGGTTGAGCTGCACCTGCCCAGGTGGCCCGGTCTGGCCCTGTGATCTGTAGACTGTGGACCTGGGACGAACTACTGTCCCCCAGGGCTGGGGAACACTTTCCTCCGCCTGAGCAGCCTGTTCCCTGGAGCACATGGAGGCTGTTCGTCTTCCTTACTGGACCAACTGGACAGGCCTCAGGTCCCTCCCCAATGTGGCCAGGGTGGGTCCTGGTCATCTTCCTAAGGGGTGAGAAGGTGCTTTCTGGGGCTTATTCCAAGTGCATAAACCACCAGGAGTCTGGCTGCCTGGTCAGGACCTGGGGACAGGGGACCAGGAGCATCCAGGGGAAGACACCTCCCTTCCTTCCAGGCCTGTCCCCTTTAGTGGCCTGGAGCTGGATCACTCACCTTCCACACCCTCAACGCCCTGTAGCTCCCAACCCCAAAACATAAGCTGAGGTATCCTTAGGCTGTTCTGAGCTGGCCCAGCCCCTTCTCCGGCCTCCCCACATGCCGGCCTTGCTCCCTGGAGGCTGGGGGCTGCCCTCGCCCCTTGCCGGTTGCCCTCTCCTGTCCCCCAAGGCAGGCTCTCCCATAGGCTGACGTTAGGCCTCACCTCCTCTAGGAAGCCTTCCCGGATCCCGTTCCCACCCACACTTGGTGCTTAGAAAAATTCCAGAAAGTGTTCAGAGTTAAGAAATAATGTAGTGGTCAGCGAATATGTAAATGGATCAATTAGTTAATAAGTAGAGAGGAGACAGCTTCAGGAGTGAGGGTGTAGACTTTGGACGGGCAGCCGGAGGTCCGACAGCTTCCCGCGCACTGGCCATGAGACTCTGCACAAGCTACTTAACCTCTCTGGTTCTTCACCTGTAACATGGAATAGAGTGGTGCCCACACCTAGGTGAGAAGCTGGCATCTGGAAGAGCTAGACTGTGTCAGGCACATTGCTGATGCTGGGCGGTGTTCACGACATGAAGCCAGGTCAAGGGGCAAGCCTGGCCTTGCTGGGACGGTCATGACCACCAGGTGGCCTGCCCTGACCTCATGGCCTCAGATCCAGAGAACCCTGCCTGGCAACCAGGGACAGGGGTTTGGGGACTCTGCTTCCATCATGCCATCCCGGGGAAGAAGCTGCCTTCTCTGAGTCCCCATCGAGCCTGGCCAAGTGCTCAGGGTGCCATGTGTGGGAGAGCTCAGGGGAGGGTCTCTGCCCAAGTGTCCCCAAGACAACCAGCTCTCAGCTTCATTTCCTCCTTCCTGCCTCTTAAGCGACACTGACTGGAGCCAGCTGTCAGAGTGGCCCCCAATCAGAGAGGCCCTGTTCAGGGCTCCCCCACTCCTGGGGGATGGAACATAGTTCCCTACACAGCTCTGACCATCCTTGGATGAGGGGTACCTGTCTGACCCTAAGGCCTAAAAACTAGTGTCTGTGGGACAGGAACAGGCAGATATGGCCCCAGCAGCACCCCTGGGAGTGCCTGGCCTCATGCTTTAGCCAGGGAAGCCAGCGGCCCTCGTCCAGGACACCATGTAGCCTTGAGAGCAGCAGCTCTTCCCCCCTTTCCTAATCAGGACCCAAGACGATCTGGTCACAGCTCTGAAATGGGGAGCAGGTGCCGCAGGGTAGAGGCAACAAAGAAATTTGGAACCAGCCTTGGCCACCTGATAATATAAAAAAGAAAATAGAGCCAGGCGCAGTGGCACACACCTGGAATCCCAGAGACTCGGAGGAGGAGGCAGGAGGATCAAGAGGTCAAGGCTAGTCGACCCAGTTATGTTACGTGCATGTACAGATATGTCCCAGTGAGTCCCACTGTTACGTATAATGATAGCACATCAATAAAAATTAATTTAAAAATTAGAATTAAAAAAATAAAAAGGGGGCTGGGGTTATGGCTCAGCGGTAGCCCGCTTGCCTGGCATGCGTGAGGCACTGGATTCAAGTCCCAGCACCACATATAAATAAATAAATAAAGGTCTATCAACAATTAAAATAATACTTTAAAAAATGGAAGGAAGGAAATTCACGGACAGCCAGGGCAACTTGGCGAGGTTCTGTCTCAAAATAAAAAAGAGCTGGGAATGGAGCTCAGTGATGGAGGGCTTGGCCAGGCCTGGATTCAGTCCCCAGCACCACACACACACACACACACACACACACACACTCAACACAGCCCAACCAAACCAAGAAGGAGCAGAGCCTGTAAGATCCCTGTGGCCAGTTGGCAGGTCAAGCTCTGTCCATGACACAGACCACCTCCTACTGGGGAGAAAGCTTGAACAGGTCACGCAGAGGAACCGAGAGGGAGTAACATCAGTAGCGCCCCTGGAAGGGGGGTTTGGAGAAAATATTCACCCTCCAGATGAAGCAAAGAAATGCCAATAAAAGTGATCTGTAAAATTTATACCAGCTAAGAAGGCAGTAAACAAATCACTAGCTCTCAGTGAGGATGTGGCTTCTCAGAAAATATGACTGAACTAGCTTCTTCAGAGCTCTCAGAGAAAAATTTGGTGATAAAAATACACAGATTCTTTGGCCTAAATAATTGACTCCTGGAATCACCCTCAAAGATGTTGTTCAAAAGAGAAACTCTGCCAGGTGTGATGGCACATGCCTATAGTCCCACCTACTTGGGAGGCTGAGGTGGGAGGATCCTTTGAGCTCAGGAGTTTCAGGCCAGCCTGGGCCACAGAGAGAGACCCCAGCTCAAAAAAACCAAAAACCAACCAAGCAACCAAACAAACAACGACAACAACAAAACAGGCTTGGGTGGAGTGGCTTAGTGATAGAGTGCTCACCTAGCATGCATATGCCTCTGGGTTGGACCCCCAGCACCATAACATATAAAATTAAAAACAAAAAGAAAAACAGCTCTAGGCACAAAGACATTTACCCCCAATCTGACTATTCAGTAGGGGAGGAACTAACAGGTGTTGGCATGTGGCATAATAGGTAGCTATTAAGAAGGAGACATCCAGTCAGGCACAACAGTGCACGCCTATAATCTCAGCAACTTGGGAGACTGGGGCAGGAGGATCGCAAGGTCAAGCACAGCCTCAACAACTTAATGAGACCTCAAGCAACTTAGCAAATAAGACCCTGTCTCAAAATAACTAAAGGGCCTGGGGACGTGGCTCAGTGATTAAGTGCCCGAGTTCCATCCCTGGTACCAAAGGGAAAAAAAAAATAAAGAAGAATGAGGTTTCTAGCCAGGTGTGGTGGTGCACACCTCTAGTCCTAGCTGCTCAGGAGGCCGAGCCTAGAGAATCACTTGAACCTCAGGAGTTCAAGGTCAGCCTAGGCAATATAGGGAGACCCTGTCTAAAAATACTAACACTATTAATAACAATGGGATTCCAAAGGCCTCAGACTACTAGGGTAAAGAGGAATGTGTCTTTAAGGAAAAGAGTTCACAGGTCAGTTTCTGACTCACAGGTGACCCTGAGGCTTCAGGGAAGGACATGGGAAAATGGATTACTCTCTTGCAGGCACTGGCCAGGCTCAGCAATTACACAGAACACAGGAGCATGCGGGTCCCCACCCCAGTGCCTTGGTTTCCTCCTCTGCACAAGAAGGGCACAATGACGCGTACACTCTGAGCTCTCAGCCTGGGGCAAGGAAGGGGCACAACATGGTCCACGGTCACCTTGACAGCGCCAGGACACGGGCACTACCTGATCCTTGCCAGGCAAGGGAGCTGAGGCATGGAGCGCTCATCATGCGACCTAAGGCCACAGGGCTGGGAACAAGCACTTTGCTGCCTCAGGAGACACAGGTGGGACAGAGAGCAGCTCCAAGCCAAGCACAGAAGGCACTAGAGAAGCCAGAACGCCCCGTGCAGGGCAGGAGGTGCTCGGAGAATGATGGGACATATCAGAAGAACTCGGCGCCGTCAGCACACTCCTCCCAAAGGACAACGGAGCCCACGGGAAGCGTGAGGAAAAGGAGGGACAAATGGCAGCCCCAGAAAGCAGGAGGTGGGACAGGAGATTGGGGACAGCCTTCTCTCTACTTTTGTGTACTCGTGATATTTTGTCATGATGCACGTTCTGGAACAGAATATCCTACGAGTTCAAAGTGATACTAAAGTAACACAATGAAAAGGAAGGAAGGATTAAAAAAAAATAATAAAATAAAATCTCACGGTTGCTCTCCTCGAGATACAGCACAATCACACTCAACAAAGGCAGAATCCAGCAGGGTCACCCCTGGACGCGGAGCCCACGCGCCTCAGCCCCTACATCATGCCTGGATGATAGAGGGATGTGGGGGACTCGCCTCAGCCAAGAGACCCTAGTCTCGTTCCCCACGAGGGCAGCCTGGCCCTGTCAGCACACGTAGCGTCCAGGCCACAAGTGCAAACCCTGCAGCGGGGTGTGAAACACCAGAGGGATGCAGATGGGTGGTCTCGAGACCTCAGAAGTCCACACCACATGGGAGAAAAAGCCTGTCCCAGTTTAAGGAGCCCAGAGAGCTGGCGGCCAAGTGCTGTATGTGATCCTGGAGCTCAGGACGGTGCCTGAATGCCAACAGCCAGGTGTGGACGCCCTCTACCTAGCAGAGGTCAGGGCCAGCGTTCTGGAGTCAGGAAAGGAAATGGACTTGTACTGGTTCAGAGAAAAAAAGAGTGTGATGTGTACTGAGAGAGAAAGAAAGGGAAGGGAGGGGAAGGGAGGTGGAGGGAGGTGGAGAGAGGAGTAGCACAGCGCAGAGCCCTACGAGCGTCTGCAATCCTGGAGGTCTGAATTCTCAAGAGACGCAGTGTGGGGGGGCAGTTATGAGCACCTGCAGGCCCCAGCTGCTACAGAGGACTAGAATGACCCCAGCCTCTTGTTTTAGGGTTGGGAGCTGAGGCCCGGGACCTGCACCCCCTACCCGCCCCATGCCTATGGACCCAGGCCACCCACGTGGTGAAGCTGTGGTTGTCGTGCGCCTGGCTGGGATGGCTCCTGGGTTTGTGGCTGCTGCTGTTGTTCTGGTTGTGGACCTTGAGGCCAAGGTACGCAGCCTGCACCGTCTCCAGATCCTCGCCCCTCAGCTGGTGCCATAGCTGCGCCATCCTAGAGGAGAGAGTTCAGGGTAAAGGACACCGAGCAGCCACTCTTGTCCCCGACAGCAGTACACACGCAGAGGTGCGCTCCACACAAGTCCAGGGTGCACCTCCGTGCAGCTGGACAAAGTTCTGGAAGAGCCGGGCAGGGCATATCTGAGGGCTGCAGGCCACACAGCTTCTCCTGCAGCTGAGCTCACCACAGCCGCTCAGAAGCAACCAAGAGCAGCAGAGGAGGAGAGTGGCCTGGTCCAAAACCTGGTGGTAGAAAGTTCTAGCACTGGACAGCACCGATGGCTGCAGAACACCATTAGTGTCCTTAATGACAGCTAAGAGGCGACTTTCGTGTTATGTGTATTTTACCCACAATAAAAAAATTACAAACAAGAAAAGAATTACTGTGGGGAGAAAGAAGAAAGCCTTGGGAGGGCCACCCTTCCCCTGTGGGCTGTGGCTGACGGGCAGTCTGTGGGACAGTGAGCCCTGCGGGAGGTGGGAGGTCCCCGGGCCACCAGGCTGCCGTACCTGTTGGAGCGCCGCTGCTGCTCACTCTTCTTCACACACTTGAGGAGGCAGCAGGTGAGAAAGGCCACAGACATGAGCAGGATGATGGCACAGCTCACGATGGAGGCGATGACTGCCACCTTGAAGCCGAAGGCCTCCTGGGGCGGCACAGCTGGAGGGGAGACAACCACCAGATCCTGGTGCGGCTCTCCCAGACCACCAGGCCCAGGATGGGTGCCAGAGGTGGACAGAGCCTGGCTGGCCCCCAGGGAGCCCCACTCTGGGGCAGGCAGGGAAGTACCGGTGGCTTGAGACAAAGGTCCGTGCAAACTGTATCGGGAGTGGCACCAGAGAAGACTTTCCCCAAGGAGGAGCATTTGGGCAGGGTTTTGCAGGACGTGCAGGAGTTTGCAAGATAGCCAATTGGAAAAGCTCTGACAGGGACTAATGACCCCCTGGACTCCTACCCTTCTGCAGAGCAGAAGGGTGGTTTGGCACAGAGATGATGGCGGACACAGCCTCGGTGAGGACCTGCCCAGCCCACTGCCCGAGTTTCCACAAAGCTCCAAGCAGGCAAGACTCTTCAGGGGCCTTCTCAAGTCATTTTCCAGGAAAGGGCAAAAGCAAGAAAAATGCCCATCAGTGGGGTCAAAGGTCATTCACACACATGAGCCGTGTGACCTCAACTATGCACTGAGTACCAGTTTCATCAGATTCTAAGGGAAGTATGGGGAAAAGAGGTCCCAGGAATCTAATTTGTACCCTCCCCTGACAGCAGACATGGCTTGGCTCCTGGTCCAGTTCCATTTCCCCTACTCTCTAGCTGGACACTGCCCATCCAGAGTGAAGACTCCACCCACAGTGCTGACATGACCATGTTCTGGCCAGTGGGGGACAGAGGCAGTGACCAGGACAACTCCCAAGAATCTTCTCTGAAATATGGGGGAGGATGCTTTGCTGCTAGGAACCCCCTCACCCCCAAAATCCTGCCTGAAATAACTGCTGTGACACTGGGTCACAATGCTGGGGCCATGCCCAACATAGCCACCAAAGGGCAGGGTCCCTGGTCCCACAGAGGTGGAGCATGCTCCAAGCCTGGCCACCCATCCCCACAGTGGAAGCACCTCCTTGGTGACAACTGTTATTTTGGTTTTCTGCCTCTTGGAGTCTAATCCTTAGAGACACCCCTCTTTCTCAGAGATCCAATCAGCCCACGAGGGTAAAGGCCCTGACAAGTCCTGCAGAACATCCGCCCAGCTTCTGCCCAGCTGTTCTGCCTCTGAGACTCGAAAGTCATTTTTACATACAAAGCACATTAACAGAACCTTCAGGGCTTCCATTTGGAGAAGCCGTGCAGGGCCAGCAGTGCTGCCTCGTTAACCTTGCAACACCCTGTTCAACAACCATAACCAAAAACTCAACAAACGACCCTTCCCGGGACTGGCTGCTCTGGGGTCAGGTACTTCCTGTGCTCTGTGTTCTCGGTACCTAGAATTCTTGGCATGTGGCACATCCTCTCGGAGTGTGCCACATGCATGCAGAGAGGAGGGAATGGACGAACACAGCTTCCTGTCTCACAGACGACAAAGTGCCAGCTCCAACAGCACACACGGCCCCTTGGTGGCAGGGGCACAGCAGTGGCAGAGCCAGGATCTGAAGCCAAAAGATAAGACTGGAGTCCACGCTGCAGGTGGGGAGCTGTGAGGGGTCTCCAGGCCACTGCCAAGCCACATGCCACGCAGGGAGCAGTTCCCAAGCACGGACCCAGCCTGGGTCCCTGTGACAGGCTTTAGGCCCCCACTCTGGGCAGCTGCAGGGTTGGGGTGGCTCAGGAGGGAGGAGGGTCTTACACTTGCACACGGGGGTCTGCGAAGACCAGTCGGCGATACTCCCCTTCCAGGCACAGGTGAGGAGGCCGGAGCCCACCATCTGGTGGCCCGAGGGGCAGTGGAAAACGAGCACAGTCCCCACAGAAGCGCCATCGCCACGGAGGACTTGCAAGGTGCCCTTTGGGGGTGGCTGCAGCTGAGCACACGTGCCTAGGGAGAGAGACAGCTGTGAGGAGCAAGGGCAGCACTTGGTGGGGGGGGCGGCATGGCGTTGCTGGCAGAGCTGGGGTGCTGCAGCCCACTGTGGGGTGGCGGAAGATCCTCCAAGGGTTGCAGGAAGCTGGAGAATCACATGGGGCTCCCAGCTAAGGGACAAAGTAGAAGTGGACCCTGCATTAAAGACAGTCTGTGTATTCTAAAGAAACAAGCATTAGACAATACAGGAAAATACACAATTATCACCTAAGTGCCCTTCAATAGATGAATGGATTAAAAAATGTGGCATTTATACACAATAGAGTATTACTCAGCACTAAAAAATGACAAAATCATGGAATTTGCAGGGAAATGGATGACATTAGAGCAGATTATGCTAAGTGAAGCTAGCCAATCCCTAAAAAACAAATGCCAAATGTCTTCCTTGATATAAGGAGAGTAACTAAAAACAGAGCAGGGAGGAAGAGCATGAGAAAAAGATTAACATTAAACAGGGACGAGAGGTGGGAGGGAAAGGGAGAGAGAAGGGAAATTGCATGGAAATGGAAGGAGACCCTCATTGTTATACAAAATTACATATAAGAGGATGTGAGGGGAAAGGGGAAAAAAATCAAGGGAGGAGAAATGAATGACAGTAGATGGGGTAGAGAGAGAAGATGGGAGGGGAGGGGAGGGGGGATAGTAGAGGATAGGAAAGGCAGCAGAATACAATAGTCACTAGTATGGCACTATGTAAAAACGTGGATGTGTAACCGATGTGATTCTGCAATCTGTATACGGGGTAAAAATGGGAGTTCATAACCCACTTGAACCAAATGTATGAAATATGATATATCAAGAGCTTTGTAATGTTTTGAACAACCAATTAAAAAACAACAACAACAACAACAAAAACAATTATCACCTAAGTATAGTTCAAAGGCAGACAGCAAGGAAAGAGAGGAAGCTGGGCACAGTGGTACACATGTGTCATCCCAGCGACTCAGGAGGTTAAGGCAGGAGGATCGCAAGTTTGAGGCCAGCCTCAGCCACTTAACAAGACCCTGTCTCAAAATAAAAAATTTAGAAAGGGCTGGGAATGCAGTTCAGTGGTAAAGCACCCTTGGGTTCAATCCCTAGTACCAAAGAAGAAAGTCAATAGATCAATAGATTTGACTGCATAAAAAGTAAAAGCAGAAGCTGAACTCCCTAATCATTGAAAAACAAACATCAACTCATGAAAAATTAGGAAAAGATATTTGGAAAACAGGACGAAGTTTCAATATCCTTAATTTGTAAGAATCTTACACATCAGTAAGAGCCAAACACACACTTTTTTTTTTTTTTATGAACTAATATGTGAACAGCAATTGACAAGAGAAACAAATGGCCAACAGGCACGAAAACATGCTCACCCACACAGCCTTCGAAGAAATGCTCATCCAAATGAGATCGAATCTTTGCCTTATCAAGCGGCAAAAGTTCAAAGAAACAGGGCTGGAGATGTGGCTCAGTGGCGGAGCACTTGCCAAGCCTGTGCCTGGCTCTGGGTCCCATTCCCAGATCCGCACAAACAAATATAAAAATCAGTAAGTAAAGAAAAACCAATCATGTACATCAGCCAGGGCTGGGAAGGGGCTCCTCTTAGATCGGGGTCAGATCCCAACCTGTCTGGACAGAGCCTGGTAAGTGTGTCCTAGGTCTGTGCTGTAGACGCCCGTGAGAACTTAGCCAAAGGCATGAAGAACTTTCTGCCAAGACTCTGTATCAGGACACTCCCCTCAGAGCTACCAGGAACAGTGAAAAATTAGAAATTATGTCTCCAGCTGTAGTCACTGATTTATGAATCAAGGTACAAACAGGCAGTCCTACAAATATATAGGCAACAAACGGCTACAAAGTGTTTACCATGATACATAGGCACACAGGAAGCCTGGCACGCTGTTGAGTGCTCAGTCCCCATTACTTGGGAGGACTGCTTGAACCCAGAGTTCAAGGCCAGCCTGGGAAACACAGCGAGCTCCAAGTCTTTAAAAAAAAAGGACACAGAGAGATGCTCTGGATGCAGCAACCCCCGGATTTTTTATGAAACAGTACCAACAACGAAAGTTGGCACTTCCAAGGGACTTCGTGTGCTGCACACTATTGTACACATTTTACATGTACTAACCCATCCACAGGACGACCATCTTCCCAGGGAGAACCACCCTTATTCCCATGTGAAAAACAAGCAAAACCATGGTGTGTGTGTGTGTGTGTGTGTGGGGGGGGGGGGGGGGTTGTGTTACTTCCTGAGGTCACACAGCTCACAGTCACAGGGTGGACTCAGAACCACAGAAGGGGGACCCATGTAACTTCTCCGTATGCATGCACACAGCATGTGCCCTTCTGTCGGTTTCTCTCTCCCTGCACGATGCACCTGAGACTTATCACTTCCACGTGGACCGGCAGCTGGGCCCTCCTACTGCGGCGCAGGGCTCTGCTCTGGGGATGAAACGTTTCCCTGTTCCCTGCTAACCGGCACAGGTGTCTCCTCTATGCTCGGGAATGCTCAGTGAAACCGCTAAGGATGTCCCAAGCAGTGCCCAAGTGCAAGAGGCTCTTCTTTCTGCTATCTCCTGAGTTTCTGAGCATTGACGGAAGAGGCAGCCTGTGACAAAGGCCACCTGAGCACCTTTGCGGCTGTCTGCCTCCCTTCAAGCAGACAAGGACAGAGACCCAGACATGGGCTGATGGGGCCCATCTTCCATGCTGACCTGCTGTGACCTTCTTCTATCCTGTGCCTGATGCCCCCAGCTAGGACCATCCCCTGGGGGCCGGGCACACATGTCCCATTGAGCCTGATGTCTGGGAAGCAGTGGAAGCCTGGTTCAGGATTAACACAAACACCGCATGCTAATGAATGCTAGTTTGTATGACAGCCCTATAATTCCTCCTTATAAGCACAGCAAGGCTGAATGACATCCCAAGGGCACTGGGCAGGGAGACAGTAGGGATAGAATTGGTACCTCACATATCCATTGAGGGAGCCCACTCCAGCTTGATCTGGGCACCCTCAACCACTGCTTCCATCCCTGGCTATGGCTGCCCACCAGTGTCCCTTCTCCTCACCCCACAGTTGCAGCTGGGGACAAGGCTGCCATAGAAAACTACACTTCCCAGCTGCAAGTAGCCATGTGACAGTGCCTGGCCAATGGGATATAAATACGGGTGTCTATGGCCACTTCCAGGCTGGGAAGCAGAGATGTGTGGAAGGGTTGACCAACCTCTCGGATCCTAATAAGAGACAGAAATAAACTCTGGCTGGAGTTAAGCCACCATCTTTGTGGTAAAATCTGAACAAAGCTTCAGGAATAGTTTATCCCAGTGCCCTGTTGAGTATCTGGGACTTTGCCTGGCCACCCAGGTCTCTGAGGAGACAGTGATAATAAAATCAAAATAACACCCAGATTATACTCTGACAGGGGCTGAGTGCTTTGGTGGCTAGGGAAACAAGCATGTGAACTTGAGACTGTGGGGCTCTGAGTTCTGCAGGGCCACAAAAGTTGGGGCCCAGATAAAGAAGTCCCCTGGGCCTCGTGGGCACAACAGCTGCTTGCCCATGTCAGGCTGGTATAAGGAAGGAATGAGGTGAAATGCTGAGGCATTTTCAAGGTCCCTAGAACACCAGGTCAGGAGCCCTGGGGATCTTTGGAAATAAGGTATGCCATCTAATTTTACAGCCCTAGACACCAAGGTTCAATGACACTGAGGCCACATAGTCACTGGTTGAGCAAGGGATCAACTGCAGTAGTTGAGAGTCAATCACTGGAAGCCGCCATCTTGTATGTCCCTTCAGTATCTAGGGAAGGCTGAGCTTCCAGTCTGGCAGGACCAATCTGATGGTTCCTTGCTCATTATCAGCATTACTATCAACAACAACACGTCTGCACAGAATACTGTGTTCAAAAAGCATCCCACATTCCTTGGCTCAGGCAGCACTCATAACAATCCCAATAGGGAACATTGTAGGATTCAAAGTCGACATAGAAAAATTAGTTGTGTTCCTGTAAAGTAGCAATGAGCAAACTGAAAATGAAAGAAAGTAATTTCATTAAAAAAAAAAAAAAGCAGTAGAAACAATTATGTGGGAGTTAATTTAACAAAAGAAGCACAAGTTAGACTGAAAACTACAAGACATTGTTGAAAGACATTCAAGAAAACCTAAATAAATGGAAAAACATCCCACACTCATGGATCAGAAGACTGAATATTATTAAGATGGTAATACCCTCAAAACTACAGTTTCAACACAACCCCTGTCAGAATCCAGCTGCCATCTTCGTGGAAATTGACAAGCTGGTCTGAATATTCATATGGAAATGTAAAAAAGACTCTAGAATAACCAAAACAACCTTGAAAAGGAACAAAGTTGGAAGATTCACTTCTCAATTTCAAAACTATAAGGACAGACCAACAGAGCAGTTCGGCAGAATTGAAATAAACCCTCACGTTTACAGTCATTTGATTTCACCATCAGTGCCAAGACAAAATAATTGGGAAAATGATAGTTTTTCAATAATCGGTGCTTGGCAAACTGGATATTCTCGTTCAAAATAATGAAGTGGGACCCCTACCTCACACCATATGCCAAAAAATAACTTTAAAATGAATCAAAACCTAAATGCAAGATCTAAAACTATAAAACTCCAAAGAAAACCTAGGGTACATTTTTTTGTGACTTTAGGCAATGGTTCTTAGATATGACACCAAAAAAAAAAAAATGCAAGGAAAAAAAACTGGACTTCATAAAAATTAAAGACAGTGTTCTGCAAAGAACACAATGAAGTGAAGAGACAACCTCCTGATTGGGAGGAAATATCTGCAAATCACATATCTGATAAGAGATACATCTCAAGTGTATAAAGAATTATTACATCTCAATGATAAAATACAAAGTTTTAAAATGAGCAAAGGATCTGAACAGATATTTCCTTAAAGAAGATACACCAAAGCCACCAGTAAGCACATGAAAC